AATGCTCACCAGGGGCACTAGCGTGGCCATCTGGTCTCCATCTTCAAAACAACTTGCCTGGCCAGTTCCCCAACCTCCCTGAAAGTCTTAACACCAGAATTCCCTGAAGTGGAGCATGCAGGAGGCTACAAGCATCGCTTGACACTTAGCAGCAATCTATGCTTCTCTCTCTTCCTTAAGCTCACATTTTACCATAGAGAGAACTTGACAAGCAAATGAGATTCTATCTCGTTTCCACTTACTGCTTCAGCAGAGTAGATATTTACCACCACAAAGGCTTATCCACATTTACCTTTCCTCCGCTTTTTCCAGGCATGGTCTACATTTAAAAGCTGCATGTCCAATAGCATGAACTAGCAGGACAAAAGAGAGGAAGAAGAGGATTGTAGACATAGCTGGTACACACTGGGGCAAGCTGGGGATGGAGGAGACGTTGGGGGCGTAGAAAGTCACTCACAGGGTGACAGAGGACGGCGAGGGGATGAGAGTCAGTGCAGAGGAACAGGAGATCTGGACCCATCACCAGAGCCCGAGGGGCACCTGTCTCCATGAACACAGTGGGCTCTGAGGCATCAAGAGTAGCTAGAGGGGCAAGGGCTCTCAGCCCAGCTCTCTAGCTGGCCAGGTGGGGCTCACCAGCTCTGGGAGGAGGCAGGTGATTCCTCAGCCCGAGTAGGCTTTGAACAGGTGAGGATCACCTGCCTCATCAAGCCCAGATGCTGCAATCAGCATGCAGAGTATAAAAGGGCAGCAGAAGTGAGGGGCCGTGTCTGCTCAACTGCCCATGTTGGGGGACCTCAGCTTGAATGCTGTAGCATCTCTGTGGGACTGTGCTTTGGACTGGATTTAGGATGAGTGGATTGATCCTTGACGGGGGGCTTGACATACTGACTTGCTGCCAGGTAGGCCAGGGGTACAGGACACTCTGATTGGCATCCGTCTGTTTCGGCAGACAATAGAGGAGTGTGCCTTTGGGGGTAAAGGTAAACCATTGGAGAGTTATAGCACCTGCTGCTGTGGCTGTAGAGACCAAGGAACAAATTTAAACAATTGGGCTGTTAAATGATGTTGAGCAGAGGTGTAATTGGCAGGGAATTCCTCTAATGATGTGTGTATATGAAATTTCTGGGTTTAAGCCATTTATCCAGCCCGTAAACTCAGCAAAGCATAGAATGGAGCAGAGGGAGGGCACGATGCAGGCTTCAAGATCCGAAAGTGTGTTGCCTAAATTGAACGTGGGCCACAGTCAGATTAAAGGGAAAGGGTGGCAATTCACTGAGTTTAAGTATCACTCCTTACAACCTTAAATCACTAAGAGAAAAGCCTTATCAAAATTTTGTGTTTTACCAACCTGACAGAGCCATCTTGGCATGTATTGTGCTACCACCTTCCTCGGTGCTTAGATGTAGGGAAAACAGTTTCATAACCTAATGACTACATTTGAGCCACCACTTTTGTTCTTTCCTCTCTCTTCTGCGAAGCTCCTTTGTTTCTCCCCCAAAAGGTCTCGTCAGAACTGAAGTTTAAAAATAGACCAAATGGCACCAGAGCTTCAACTGAGCAAACAAACAAACATGTTGCTGGGCTTGAAACATTGTCAGACATTAGACTTTGGATCTGCTACCTTCCTTTGTGTTTATATATACTGAATATAAATTAAAGCAAATAAGAGGTATTCACAAGATGGCCTGGCTACCATAACCATCTCCCTTGCTCATGATGTTAGGATCTCTAACTAAGGGATGGTGAACAGAATCCAGAGGCATTCAGTTTGACAGCTGAGTGAGGTGCTTGTTCTGTTTCTCGCTATACCGCTGTTGTGCCTCGAGAAAATCTGATCTTACTCTCCGAATTGAAGCTTGGTTAAGCAAAACCTCTCTCCAGATTTTTCTGTGCAACTGATAAGATCCAATTCAGCGGGTAAAATCGAATTCTTGCGAGGCACAGCTCTCTGACCCAGGGAGATTAATCAGTACACAATACAATCAAAATATGGGTCAGGTTTCCAGTAAAACGTTCAGCAAACTTACCAAACTACAGTTCCCAGAATTCTTAGGGGGGAAGCTATGACTGTTAAAACTGGTGCAAGTGTGTTTTCAATGCATGGTGTGGCCCAGGTCTGCAAGAGGACAGAGTCAAAGGTGCTTCTACCTGTAATCCAGAGAGCTGCAATAGCCTAGGTCAAAAAACTTTATGTCACCCAACATAAAGCTTAACTCTGTTTTATTTTCTCCACTTCAGCTTTCTAGGGTCTGCTTTTAGTGCTGCTGTGCTACTAGCATTTCAAGTCAAGTTGACTTAACCCCTGTGTACGTCACACCAAGGAAACTCTTAAAATAGAAACATTATAGCAACAAACAGCCCAAAGCCTTATGGGTTCCCACACCAAGTCCTGCAAGGAGACAGATGTTTGATTGCAGAAGCGGGCTGGCTCAAAGGAGGCTTGGAAGAACCTTTCCAAAAACTAAACAGTGTAATGCATCAGTGGCTTGGCGGTTGTGTAGGAGTAGGGCTGGGGAAATCTGGGTTTCTGCCTCAGGGGAAAAAGTGGAATACAGCCACAGGCCCATTGACATGCATTCTAGGCTCACTCCTCAGCCAGCATTCTGTGACCCCAGAGCATCCTCACTGGGCTATTTTGGAGGTCCCGCCTTCTTAGCCTTCCCCTCCCGAGATAATTTTTGAACCAAATTCTGCACAAAGGACCCCTCTCTCAGCCTGCAAGGACGGAATACAAAAGAAATCTGCATTTGGCAATGAAAGGGGAAACGGTGCGTATGACAATAGTCAGAAATCATTTCCCAAGAATGGAAAAAATGGCTAATGTGTTCCAAATCTTTGGGCTCTTGTTTGTGGCACTGCCTCAGTCCTGTCAGAAGAGTGCAATTGATTCGGGATAGGAGTTACATCTGCCATCCCAAACAAATTTCACATCTGCGAGCAAGAGAGAAGAAATTAAGAACAGCAGCAAGCAAGCGGCTAGCCAAGTGCTGCCACCTCTTGGCTGCTGTGAGTACCACAGGGTGTCAGCTAGCACCACAGAGCTAGAGAGAGACTTCAAAATGTGTGATATTTACTGCCTGGTCCCTCCCTGTCATAATTAAAATGTTGAGATAGCTCTCAAATCTTAACTAAGGGGGTTGGGGGTGTCCAACAGGTGCAGCCAGGACCAGAGTCAGGGGTTGGTACCCTCAGGCACTTGTCAAGGCCCACCACACAGCAAGGGGCCTACTGTTGACCCCATGTCCCACTGGTCCTTATCCTCTTTCTCCTCATTGTTGCTCCGTTAAACTTCCCTTTCCAATCTTCTGAGCAGTGGCAACACTATTACTACCTCCTGCTGCTGCTGCATGTGTAGACAAGGCTGCTCACCTGTCTTGTTAACAGGTTCTTAGGCAGTCAGCAATTTCTGGGCTATCAGCTTAGAGAGGTGGGAGAACCCAGACCCTGAGATCATCCTGAGGCCCTTCTTTGTGTGCTTCCTCAGCGTGAGCTTCTGGAGGGTGGCAACACAAGAACGGGCCTTTTCTGCAGTGGCTCCCCATTTGTGCAATGTTCTCCCCAGGGAGGTTTGCCTGGTGCCTTCATTGTACACCTTTTGGCACCAGGAGAAAATGTTCCTTTTCAGCCTTTGGCTGATGAACATCTCATACCCCCTTTAAACTTTTTTTGGGGGCGGATTATTAATTTGTTTATTTAGTGTTTTTATCATGTATTTAGTGTTTTTACATTGTATTTTTATTTTGTGAACCACCCTGAGACCTGCAGACAAAGGACGGTACACAAATTTAATAAATAAGAATAAGTAAGGCACATAAAGTCGTACCTTCGAAGTTGAATGGAATCTGTTCTGGAAGTCTGTTCGACTTCCGAAATGTTCGGAAACCAAAGCACAGCTTCTGGTTGCCTGCAGGAAGCTCCTGTAGCCAATAGGAAGTCTCATCGGACATTCAGCTTCCAAAAAAATTCGCAAACTGGAACACTCACTTCCAGGTTTGCGGCGTTCGGGAGCTGAAACGTTTGAGAACTAAGCTGTTCAAAAACCAAAGTACGACTGTATTTCAGTTGAGAAACCTTGATGAAATGTTGTGTGCAGCATGCAACACAGTTCGAATTACTTCTGAAGAAAGGATTGCACTGGTAAAAGTCATTTCAGATATATCGTAGACAGGGTAAGGCAGAGAAAGAGCATGAAATTGACTCAATTACGTTCAACAGAAACAACATGTCATGTTCCCTCTTAGGGGAATGCATTAGCTTCTGAGGAAGGAGCAGTCCACATGTTTCTCTGCTTGGTGAGCTGCAACAGGAAAATACAGGGAATACAAAGGGGAGATCAATTGCTCTTTAACAGCCTCTCCCTCCCCAACGTAGCGCTGCATCTGAAACTTCTCCAAATAAAGAAAATGTATTATTTAAACATCCCTGAAAATGTTAGGTATTGCACCAGATAATTCCTTGAAAGGCAGGTTAACAAGACAACTTGTTTTCTCAAGATCTTAGCTGTCATAAACTAGACTGACAATATCCGAGAGCAGGGGTGGGGAACCTCAGGCCTGGGGGTCCTGTGTGGCCCTCCGAGGCTCTGTCATTGGCCCTTGGCACTCCCCACAGGCCGAGGACCTCCCCAGGTCATGCCATTTACTGGAGCTGCTCCTCCACCTCCTTGCCTGTCTGGAATGTGTCCTCAAGCGACAATAATGTGCCTTGCTAAGAGCTACATCCATTGCTATGCCCACTTTTGAATCTGGAAAGCGTCCTATACATTGTGGAAGGTTGCCCATAAGAGAATGTGGTCCTTGGGGTAAAACAAAGGTTCTCCCCCCCCTGTCTCGAGCGGTTATGGCTTTAACTCGTGTTGCACAGCCAAAACACTAGTCCTTGTTTCTTCGTGAAGCTTCCACCTGCCACATTTTTCAGGATCAGATCTCCTCATGCCAATTTTCCATTTAACTCAGTCTCTTTGGCTCTTAGGACAATGACAGAGAATCACAACAGCAGCCATTTTGTATGCCTTTATTTTGAGTTATTTGACTTACAGGCACTGTGCATAGGTGGAGTTTTATAACTCGGCAAGTTCTTCGTGTCATCGCTAATCCGGGAGAAATATGTGTTGGGAGAACTACCTCACAGCAAGAGTTCCAGTCTCCAGGAGGGCCTTAAGAGACATCTGGAGAAACAATTCACTTCTTTGAAAGCCACAAAGCAAGGAATCTTGTTTTACAAACAGGCTTAAAAAAATAAAAATGTATATATAATAGAAGCAATTTAAAAGCTAAATACAAGTTTAAAAATGGTATAAACTTACACTGCTTCAAGGACTCGCTCCCTGCCCGCCACAGACATGGAAAAAAAATATGTTTTGAAAACTTAGCATTATTATTTAAAAGATTCCATGCATTAAGACTTAGTGTTCTAGGCAACTAAAAAAAGGAATGGCAATAAATAGAACTTTTTAAAAAAACAAACCACTTTTCCATGACATTAATGGAACAGAAAGTAGTCCATAAGGCACTTCCACACAGGCTATTATTAAACAGCAAAGGAAACCTGAAGGGGAAAAGCAGCCAAACAAAGCAACTATTTACAACAGCACTGAAGGTTGACAGATAGGGGCCTAGTGAGATACAAATGAAGGAATCCCCCGAGGAGTTTGCATCCTTGAAAAAGGAGCCAAGGGGCATCATCCCATCCTGCAAAACACACACACTTGTTGCAGCATTAGAACCAACTCGAGATAAGAAACTGCAGCCAGAGCATTGCAAGGGCAAACAGGGTTGCCACATGACTACTGGGAAGAGTGGAAGCAATGGGTTCTGGAAGCATCTGGGATGCATCGTGAACATGGAAAGGTTTAAGGATTTGTTGGTACTGACACCATCCAGGGAAAAAAAACAAATCTGGAAAGTCTGTGACCTCAACTGAACAGTCCCCCTTCTCAAGGTTTCTGCAGCACTCGTGAATTCCTAGAGGGGGGGAAAGCAAACATACTGTTCTCCCCTCCTGACATCAGTAAATGCTGCCCTTTGAGATGTGAGTACTGGAATGTTTTGCAAGAGCACACCTGAGAAGTTGCTTGCCACTTTAAAAGGGTCTGCAGTGTTAACAAAGAGAAACCTGAATGGCAGGTATAGCCCTTCCCATTGCAAGCCAGCCCTTCATCTGACGGGCTACTAGGTCGCTCCAAGACAACTAAAGTCTTGGCAAAAGCAGGAAAACTGTGGACTCCCATCAGCCCCCAGCCAGCACAGCCAATGCTTGGGGATGATGGGGGTCGCAGTTCAGGAACCCCTGGCGGGGGTTAGAGCCCCTGGCTTAGAGCAAGGGATCGGAACTTTTCTCGCCAGCAGTCCAAACCCAACCCCAGCAGACAAGTGGATGCACTATCAAATGTAACCCTCAGGAGCAGACAGAGCTTTGCTAGTCATTCAACTAACTACTCAGCGATTGCGCAGCTGCCGTATGCTGGCAAGAAATTGCTCAAATATATTGAAAAGTAAGACTTGATATTAAGTTATTCCAACAAGCTCTTGTATGCAGATTAACTACACCAAGGTTAGTACATGTTAAAAGGCCGCTGTTCAAGAATACCAGTTATATTTCTCCAAGGACGTTCTCATTAAGTTTTTGATTCCAAAGACTCCGAAGCTTCTCAGGAGGAAAGAGCACCTATAATCCCAGCAAACTGCCTTTAAAATCAGCGGCCCAAGTAATGTACTAACTTTGGGCACAAGAGGGCAGCAGATAATTGCAACTCAGTCTCTCCTTCGCTCTACAGCTTTTAGCTACCGGTAGATGGAATTTAAGCAAGACTAGGGCACTGTCTTAATTCAACGGAGGTGTATGAGAACTGTACAAACCCTTACTGGTTAAACACAGATTGCATAAGAACTACTGAAGGGGGAATTTATGCTATCCTTAACTGCTAAAGACTAAAAAGTCAATATTGGTATGCACTTCCATCGTCCCAAGCTTGGCTTCAGGTCCAGCATTTGTTCTGGCATATATATAACTGCATATTTACACCTTAAATAAAAAGAGCTTCTAATTTTTAGAACTGGGAAGGAGAGGGTGGGCAGAAAGTGTCTTGTAGTGCAGTTCAGAAAGTCAGTTTGAGGGGCTGGCTTCTGAGTAGTGGCAGAGTTGGACTTTAATGCAGGTCTTCACTCTGAGACAACTCCGTTAGGATCTCAATGAGGTTCTCCAGCCCCCAAAGGTAGCCGTCCTCCCGATTCCCTTCTATCCAGGGCACGTTGTGCTGGAGGACCTCTCCCTCTGGCAGTGGGGTGGTTTTCCCAAAGTCAATCATCCAGACTTTGGCCTGTTCTTTCTTGTCGTGGATGAAGAGGAGGGAACTCCCGATTACCTGCGACAGGAAAAAATAAAAAGGGGATTATCACACAGGATTCGAAGGCATGCGGTCAGCATTCGCCCAATACTAATTGCTCCCTTCCTTAACCACTTTCTGAACTCCCTGCCTGTCTGACAGCAAAACTGGCCGGTGAAAGACCTCCCTTCTTTGTCAACTTGCTGAGAGGGGAGGTGTTACACAGAGCTTTGGCGCTGGTCCCTCTCCAGTCCTTATGTGGTTTGCTTCCAAGGCAGCAGTTGGGTGCTTGAGGCAGCGCCACCTCTTCTGTTTCTGCCACCTGAGGCAGCTGCCTCCCCTTGCTTCATGGCTGGGCCGGCTTTGGTCTAAAGGCAGAACTTGGCATTCTATGGGGTTGGGCCTGCTGTGTTCATAGCACTCTTGGGTTATATGAAAACAAGGCTGCTAGCTCTCAAGGTCATGGGGAAGTTAAAACATGCAACATGAGAGGAGTAGAAACTCTCTTTGCCAATTAAAAAAAAAGCAGTTGTTGAATATCCACTTTCCCAAGTCGCAAACCCAGTTAAAAATTCAATTCCAAGCAGCAGTTTTAGGAGAGTTAAGATAAGTTCTGCCACCCGCTGCCAGCCTAAAACTGAAAGGCCTGAATCTCCAGGGATAGGAAGCTCCCCAAATGCACTGGGGGCGAAATCCCCTCTCTTTCTGTCCTTAGTCAAGGAGGCAACCTGGTCACTCACATTTATTCAGACTTTCAGGGCCAAATGAGAACGGGACTTTTCATCACATAAATGGCGGGGGGGGGGGGCAAGCCAGATTGGGAATATAATGTGGGTGTGTGTGAGAGAGGGGATTTCCTCCCTTCAACCCCAGCCCTGACCAAAATCGGGGGCCCTGCACTTGGGAGCATTCTACATAATGTGAATACCAGGGGGTTGGGTAGGAGTGGTTCTGATCAGGGCTGCAGTATGGTCCCCCTGCATTATGGTCCCCATGTAATTTGTCCCCACCCCACGCCAGCTATTTATTGAACATCAAATAGTGATGCAATTCCAAAGCTTGTGGAAGGATTCTAGTCTGCTAACTTGTTTAGGTAAACTGAACTTTGCTTTGACAAGAATTCTAACCTTTCTAAAAAAGAGATCATAGAAAGGCGGTTTAGTTTTTACCTCGTGGCCCCTGAAGAATGGTGACAATTCCAAGGTATCGCGGATTCCCTTCAACCGGTTAAGGTAGCCGTTCTGTAGTGGCAAGAACAGAACATTTTTAAGAGCTTTGAAAATACTTCTTAAGCACCCAGTCTCTGAGCATTGACCTTGCTTAGCAAGAGGCTGCACATTCCTCACATAGTTTGAACGGAAGGAGTTGCAATTTGTTTTGCGCACACACACACACACACACACACACACACACACCCCCTCTGCCTGTAAGCCAAATAACCGCTCCTGTATCAGGACTGCAAGCTGGGTGAGCTGCACTTCCAAGCAGCCAGCACAGACTTCCCAGCGCTTTGCACCGCTGCCAGCTATTGAGAGAACCCTGTTCCTTTGCCCCTCTCAGTAACTGGCTGAATAAGAGCAGCTGGGGCCCAGAAATGGAAACAAGAAGAATTACCGACAAAAGAAGAATGGCAGATGAAATTAATGGACAATGCAGAATTAGATAAGATGACAGGAAGGATTCGAAACCTGCGGGACCAGAGATTCTCAGAGGACTGTAATAAATATGTGAATTATTTGAAAAGCAATTGTAAGCAACAGATTACGCTAGTAGGATTACAAGAAGTTTTGTAAGGAGGAATATGTGAAATATTGCGAGGCAGGTTATGAAGAGCGTTATTAGTTAAGATAATTAAAAGTAATAGTGAGATTAAGAAATGTAAATTAAGTGAAAAAGATTGGAAAATTTTCAGATGTGATTGATGTCAAAATGTATAAGATATGAAATTGTGTTAAATGAATGTTGAAAATTATTTTTTTTAAAAAATAATTTTTATTAAAGTTTTAAACAACAAAGAAACAACACACACAAAAAGCAATACAAAACTCAACAATAAAAAACAAAAGAAAACGTAACAATTAAAAACAAACTCTCTTTTCCATTCCATTTTTAGATTACTTATTTTCTGGACTTCCTCATACCTCCCTCTTTTGTATTCCCATCTAAATTATTTGTCCAGCAGTTTCTTTTCCACTTTTTTAATCCCAATCTTTAGTTTAATAAAATATTAAAATATATAACTTCAACTTCTTTAAACCTAATCCTTGATCTTAGTATCATATAACGTTAAAATTTTCCCTTTTCATATCAAATTTCCATTTCTTTAAACATCTTTAATCTTGATCTTTAATCTTAGTCTATCATTAACTTTAACCTATGTAGCTGGAAGCCACTTATTTTCAGTCCAACATCACTCTAACATTCCTTAACTTTGCAGTGTTTCTGAAGATAGTCTTTGAATTTCTTCCAGTCTTCCTCCATCTAAATGAATGTTGAAAATTATTGTCAGGTAACTGCCATCGGAGCTAGAGGCGGAGGGAAGGCTCCAGAGGGATGGCGGAGAGGGTCCCAGTAGGGAGAGAGGCAGCCCGTCCGCTGGGGAAGGAAATCAGCATAACACCAGTGGAGAAGGGGGGCAGATGGGGGAATCGGAGAGGAGGCTCCAAGACTCCTCGCCGGAGACCAGCGGAGAGAGTACGGGTCCTCCGCTGCCCACACCCTCCCTGCGCAGAAGGCTTCCGCGCAGGGAGACTAGGCGGAGACTAGGCGTCAAAGAACTTTTGTGCTGGAAGAAGTTCAAGAAACGCCCACTGACGGATTCTGCCAGCGACTGAGACAGCCACGAAGCTAGAGACTGTCCGGTCAGAAAGGGTTCAACCAGGTAACCTAGCCAGGAGTGGCGGCAACTTACGCACGAGCAACCCCTAAACCCATTACAATTATGTTAAAATTTTATATGAGCAACTGGGTGGGGAGGTGAAAAGTTTTCAAGGCAGTAGCAGTAAAAAAAGAAAAAAGTAAAGTAAAACACAAGCAGGGTCCAGAGCCAGCAAAATGCCACACTATCATGCACTACAGCACTGGTGTTCAGCTACTGGGTCCCGGCCTGATCTGAGATGGGCCACAACAGCAACACTGCCACCTTACCAACATATGCTTAAATATTAAGAGAGTCTCCAAACACTTGTTTTGCGTTGAAGGTGGGTCCTGGGTCTGCAGACAGTGGAATTCTACTGTGCTTCAGCATATACAAGTGCACCCTCTTTTGGAAGTGGCTGAGGCTACAAGGCAGGATTAAAGAGGCAAGCAGGAGGGCAGGCAGACCCATACATTACCCTGCACCTTCCCACAAATGTGGCAATCTCTCCTACCTGCGTTACAAGTTAGTCACCCACGACTGAAGACCAGGGGGCTCTCCAGATGTTAATTTTCTCTGACCACTGGCCACGCTGGCTTGGGCCAATGGGAGTAACTAGCTGGTGTGTCACAGGCTCCCCCAACCACGACATACGGAGTCACGGTCACGAGAACCATTTCACTTTTAATTTTTTTTCAGACCTCTCCGGACTGAAAGCAAAATGATTCACATAGCAGAACGGCTGGGCAGTGAGAAACGTACCAGCTTTGTTCACTGGCTCCAGAAGAAGCCCCCATTAACTACCATCCATTGTAAGCTATCTCTGCAAACCTGCAATGGGTAAAGAGCCAGGTTCAGAGATGCTCGTCTGAGACTATACGTGGTGGGATCTAAAATTGAGCTCACTTGCCCAATTGGGTGGTTTGCAGAGGAAATGCAAAAATGCATTCATTCCCATCTAACAGGAGGTTGGGAGAGAGAGGTGGAGCTGTTAGTCACCTGCATATTGAAGGCACTTAGTTTTCATACAACTTTTCCCACTGGTTTCATGTAGCTGTTAAAATCAGGACAAGATGAGACACTCCAAAGGCTAATCAAAATTCCTCTAGCTCCACTTTCTCAGTCTTGCACTTCAGAAAGGACTGGCACCACCATTATCCTGGACTTTCCAGGTCCGTTCCTGGCACGACAACCCAGATGGACATGATACTCAACAATACTGAAATCTACTGACGAGGTCAAGGGAAGCCAACAGGGTTGCAGTACCTCCCGCTACTTCCTGGCGTCAGGTCACCCACCAGGGCGACATGGTGCAAAATATTTAGAGCTATTTCACCAAGCAACAGGGTTGGATGTGTGTGTAGGATCAACTCTTTAGGAGAGTTGATGGGATTCCCAGCCCTTGGCTTCCAGGAAATAAAAAGGTGGGGAGCTTCAGCGCAGTTTCCAGGTAAACAAAACCCTACAGTTTACTTGGAAGGGTTGCCATTTTCCTCAAATCACAAGATGCACCCACCTTTCCTCCTCCCTCAGCAACAGCATTGTTCCAGGATTCAGTAATGGGGCAGGGTTGCTCACTGCAAGCTAAAAGACCTTCTCCTGCATGTATTTGTGATCTTTTCAGTTTGCAGAGGGTACTTGCATTTCATTTGTAACTAGAAATTTATGAGCAATGCCATGTGGCCTAAAATTATGTGAGATGGATACACCTATCAATCTTTCCTCGTCCCCTGACAGGCTTCTCTAAACAGTTCGCTTGCCCCTTCAAGCTCCACCCACCACCATGGAGGAAGATTTGTCAAATGTTACAGCAGGTGCACACCTCAGCTGTCAACATTTCCCTCCCCCCCCCTTATTCCGAATAGGATTCCTCGCAAGAAAAGGGAAAAGTTGACAGCTATGCCTCTGGACCAAAAAGCAGTAGGCAGATCAAGGGAGAGCAGCAAAATTGTAGTTTCCTTGTCCCCCATAGTGAAATAGAAGAGGTTTTGTAACCATGTTTGAACATTGGAGCTCTCTCCATTATGCCTTGAAGGAAAGATGCCTTCAGCTGTCAGGAAGGCCACTAAGAATGGGTCACTACCAGGGCCGGATTTAGATTTGATGAGGCCCTAAGCTACTGAAGGTAACCGGGCCCTTTATATGTCCAACTGTCCTTTGTCAACAACAAATTCTTGCTGTTTTTTGTGTTGAATATATGCTATATGGTAATTTATGGATCTAAATAGGTATCTAAAGCCATTTGCACATAACAAAATATGTATTTTATCAAAATATTTGTTAACTCAAACACAATTAAGAAGAAGTGTATTAATAGCGAAATACAATTAAGAAGCAGCATACTAATAGTGAAATAATTGCACAACACAAAACACTGTTGCTGTATGTAGATTGTATTTGATTTGTTTTTTATCTTATATTTTGGAAATGTGCATCCAGGGTTTTTTTCCTTTAATTTTTTTTGGGGGGCCCCAAGAGAGTGGGGCCCTAAGCTATAGTTTGTTTAGCTGATACATAAATCTGGCAAGTCACTACCACACTCACAGACCCACTTGTGCTGCCAACCAGGCACCATAAACTTCCAACTTTCTGTTTAAACTTTGTGTGTATGTGAGAGTGCGAGAAAGACAGACAGACAGACAGACAGACAGACAGACAGAGAGAAGGACAACAGTTCTTGCTTGTTTCCCCTGACATGACCCAGAGCCAGTTCAGGACTCTTTCCTTCATCAAAGTGCTTAGCAAAGAAGATGACACTGTCAAGGGTGTAGGCCTGATAGGTGGGCCTCCTAAAAAAAAACCTTTCTACTTTCCTAGAATTCAAGGAATCCCATTTTCAGTGTTCCATTACAGACAGGATTTGGACCAGCTTAACCAGGAATCTGAACTAGTTAAGATATTGCACATCTTCTGGATGCATAACATAAACTGCCGAGGAAAGAGAGCAGGTTTCACATTAGCATGTAACTGTGGATATTAAAGAAACCTAGGGTACTAAACTAATAAGGAAACCAGCTGCAGCGACTCACCAAAACGTTACGATTTCCTTTCGTAAATTCTCTGAAGGCCTCCATGACTTGTTCCTTTGTCCTGGTCTTCTTGAAATCCCTGTTCACGGTGCCATCTTCCTTCTGCAAAAAGCAATGATGAAATCCAAGGCTATTACTCAGAAGAATGCATTTGTGTCAACAGACAGCTTTGCCGTTCATTAAACAGGATGCGGAATAACCTACAACAGGGCAAAGGTACAAGTTGGCCATCGTTTAAATAACAGCCATGGGGTGGGGGCTGAATGACTTGCAGACTGTCCAGAGAAGACTTGAGAATGGTTTTATTTGGGGGGGTTGGGGGTATTTGCAGCTTTTGAACACAATACAATGTTCTTTCTTCAGCCGTGGAAATTACAGGAAGGGATCTGCATTGCCAAGTCCAGCCCTTTGTCCCACATGCCAACATGTGAAATGGTTTGCAAGTATAAAGCTCTGTGTTACACAGAGGCAGATGATCAATTCATCTCAGGCATGAACCTTTCCCAGCACTACTAACCAAACTCCTTGAAATCCACAGGGTTTGCAAACACCTCTAATCATATAAATTAGCCCACATCTTTTAGTATTCTGCAATGAGGAGACTACGGTAATTCAAAGCAGAATGGACTACCTTGGAAGGTTTCTAAACAGAGGTTGGAATCTTTAGCTGTAATTCCTGCATTGCAGAGGTTTGGACTAGTATCCTTTGGGGACCTTTCCCAACCCTACAATTCTATAAGCCAGCACAATTCAAGTACTAATTTGAGCAAGTCCGTGTGGTTTGTTTAGATTCAGATGGAATGAAGACACAGCACCCTTTTGCACCCATGGTTCTCATTTCAGCACCTGTTCAGAACCTGACTTCCATGAATGCACACTGTAGTGCCAGGGGACAATTTAGCAATATCTTTTTTTAAAAAAAAAACCAACTTGTGCAGTGTGGAATCAAACAGCTATTTACTGCTTTGTGGCTGCTTTAAGACTTCCTGTCTGGCAGCCTAGCTGTGTTGAGAGCTGGTATCTGAAGCCTCCAGCCACGGACTCAGCTGAAAGTCGCAAAAGGGTGCTATGTTTTCATTCCAATTCATTTCTCCTGCTTCCCCAGATATCCAAGCAGCTGTGAGAGTGTGGTAATGTCTGCAGCCTCCAGCCATGTGGTGAGCCATGCATCACCAAGCTCCCATAACTGCTCGGATATCCGGGGAATGCTGTAGGGCTAGAGGCTACAGGAAAACCGAGCCTCAAAACAGAACTGGCCGCTTGCATCCAAACAGAACTTTTAAAGGTTTTGTTTTTGTTTGTTTTTTTAAGGCTGGCACACAATCTTCTGCTTCTTCTGTTCACAAGTTTGCTCACTTCCATCGGCAAAGCAACCTGCCTAAAGAATAACTTTGCAACCTTACATAAACCAACGTGGCAAAGCTCCATGCATGCATAATGTTTATATATTGGCTGATAGCAATTAAAATCCCAGGGATGGCAGGCAGCAAGAACTACAGCAGGTGCCTTCTATCTTTGTTCACCTATCTGTATCTACTTATGTTGTTTATACAGAGGGAGGACAAAGGGTTATGCCTCAATAAAGGGATTACAGGATTTTCATTTTTAAAAAATTTTAATTTATACACCACTTTATATATTTAAAGTATATCTCTATTCTGTGTACAAAAACCTGACTCACAGCTCTTTCTTCTACAAGAGAGCTCCCATGCACTCTCTACAACACACATTCAAAGACTGCCATTTCAGCTTGACAGTGAAATATCCCGTTTGACCTTGGTGGAACTAGAACTTCATTACAATGCACTCTGCAAAACTGCTTAAACATCTAGTTTAGCTGCTGGTTCAGTTGCAGTATATCGAGAATTCTATTGATAAAGGCAGAACTCCCGGCAAGCACCTTTCTCAGGAAATATTCCACCTATTATCTCTGTTATGCACCAAATAGATTCAAAACCCTCACCTTGATTCCTTCAATCCTGAATCCGAGAGTCGCTGTAGAACTTATTGTTTCCCTCCACTGCATGTATCGGGGCTTGGTTACGGCACGCTGGGCGTTCTCCTCCTCAGTCGGAGCCTCCGGATCGACTTCAATCATCTTTTGATACATGTCCTTCCGTAGGCTTGGCTTCTTCCGGGCCTTTGTTAGTTCTTCCTCCAAGTAGGTTCTGCAGAGAGGACACTAAGTGTGACGCTCACCATCTTCGGAAACTTATCTATCACAGCCAACTATGGGGGGCAAGTTTTTTGCCTCCCTCATATTTTGATCCTCTAGGATTTCCAGAAACCAGAAAGTGTGGTCAGAAACCTTCCATGTACTGGTGGGAGTTAATCTCCCACCAAGACACAGTGGTAGAAACTTGCAACTAACCAGGGCAAAACACCCTAAAAAGAGCAATATCTGGAATGGAAATACTGGTACATGTGTCGATTTGAGCTAAGAATTTAAGAGCAGTCTCTGCCCTGGATCAGGCCAAAGGCTGACCTAGTGCACTGCTCAAACACTTTATATTCTGGAAACCAAACACTTGTATTTAACAACATTTATGGAAGGTGCCCATGAATAAAGATCAAAGCCCTGTCTTTCAAACAACATGTGGTAAGGCAACCATGAAAGGATAAAATAATTGCACGAGAAGGCCATAAATTATACAGGTGGGTAGTTTGAGCAGTTTGAAATTCAGCATCCTTTCCAGATATAAGGGACACCTGGAATTGTGAACCACTCAGAGGGCATTAATTTGGCAGTATTATTATTAATCACCATCACCCATTAGGATGATGATGAAATTAATGAGTGAGCCACTCTGTGCATCCATTGCCTTTGTTAATCCCATTTGTGATGGGGGACAAGGATTCAGAAAAGACACTTTTCCTAAGCATGTCTTCCCCATCTGCCCACTAGAGGTCTCTGCTTTCTATTAGTAACAGCTGCTTGAAATGGCACTGGCCGGGGCACTCCTGGGTCAGCAAAATATATGCCAGTCACCCTGCAGCGCTTCCTCAAGTTACTTTTTTGCTGCCCCAAACAAGCCTAAATGTTAAGTTCCTGGCTCCAATAACGTCTGCTGACTTAGTAGAGATAAGGCTGACTACAGATTTGTAGTCAGTAAATTTGGGAGCCAAACACATATCCAGACTTTAATGCAAATCTGCTCCCAGCCATAAAAGTTACTAAGCACTTTGCAGCAGGTTTTGCCGATCGGTTGCCTGTAGGCCTTCCAAACAAGAGGAGTGTCAGATATAAAACCATATTCCAAATGTTTCATACAAGCCAGAGAGGCCAGTGTGGTGGGCAGGGCTGGATTAAGACCCTAAGCACACAAGTTTTTTGGTGCCTCCATGTATATATCTAATTTAAAATATAAACAACAATAAACCATAAAATAAAATTGCATTTTTTGAAATGAAACAAAACCTGCAATAAGATAGAAAATAATGTGGTGGGGTTTTTTTGTATACTTCCACCTTATATTTGAAAAAAAACACTCCTCCTTTTTCTAACTGCAAAGTCTTTGATCAGTTCCTCAAAACTAATCTTACATAACGCATCTGCTTCTATACTTAGTAGAGATAAGGCATCCAAACCTGTCTTGTTGCATAGTTGTTCTGTTGGGTTTTTTAATATCTGAGAAAACTGAGAAAATGAACACTCTGCCGAGCAATTTGTGACCATTAATGTTAAAAACCCAGCAACCGATATTTGAAATAAAATTTGAAAGCTGGCTCAGTTCTTCTCAGCATTCCATATGCCACACAACAGAGATCCAGTACAATATATAACGAGAGCCTATATTCCTCTGAATACTAGCCAGAGTTATCACCAACAGGTGTAATCTCCAGTTCCAGATCACCCCCTCTTCCCTCCACAATATACCAAGTCACTGAAATTTCGCATAAACTGAAGTAGACCTTAGTCTGTGAAATCTTATGTCATGGACTGGATAGGGAGCCTCTCAATCTAATCCTGGGGATTCTCCTAGGGCCTCCCCGTCTCCAGGTCACACCCCTCATTGACTCGATGCTCTCAACTGCTAGACTCTGTCCTTGACCAGTAATACTGCCTCATATCTGTCTGAATGGAGAATTGTGTGCATGTGAAAGCAGCTCTGTATAGGGAAGTTTTTAATGTTTGATGTTTTATTATGTTTTTATATTTGTTAGAAGCCGTCCAAAGTGGCTGGGACCACCCAGACAGATGGGTGGTGTATTATTATTAATATTATTATTATTATTGCCTCTGGCATCACCCATTTCCTGCCATAGTAATCTTGTCCAGCTCTTTGCTGCTGTTTGTATATTGAAAAGGTATCCTTTGTACCATTAAATGAAGCATTCTGGCTCCAGTTTGAATTAGTTGGCCAAGGGTTCTCAGAAAGAATTCAAGTTTCTGTACAGTTGCCACCAGTTTTGAAGTATTCTTGTATAGCAGACCTACAAGTTGCTTCTAGGTCAAACGAACTGCAAGGCAAAAATCTTCCGCTATCTCCTTGAACAAGGATGTACTTTTGGGAGGGGGAAAGGACTCGTTAACCCAGCTTAGAATGTTTTTCCATTTGTTCATGCAGTTAATTTGAACTTTGCTTTCCCTCAGCGCAAACAGATTCCAAGCCAAACAGAGCAAACAGCATTTTTCCTCACAACGAGTAAACTCACGATGACACTGGACAGTGAATTTCTTTATCCTGGAAAGGGGGCTGGGAAGAGGGTGGCTCAGTATCTAAACTGCCACTTCAGCTAAAGTTTCTCCAGATATGCGGCTCACTGAAGACGTTTTCTTCACAGGTAAACATCAAGACTTTCATTTTAATCTCCCACACTTAAATTAATTTTAATAATAATAATAATAATCAGGAGACCCCTTTTGCATTTTGTCAAGGTCATGTTCAGGAGGAATTTGAGACTGAATGGCAGAATTATACATTTTAGCTTATGAAAATAACCTGACAGACACGATATAGCCCAGCTTATCAGGAATTCCCACAGCCAACCTGGTTTAAATAACCTTGGGTGAGGACTACACAGCATTCACCCTCTGCTCCCAATTTACAGCTTACCCACATAACACTATTCAACTGAAAAGTACGGTCTTCTAAGGACATCTTTATTACTTATACTCACTTCTGAGCCAAAAGGCCTATAAGACAGAGCAAGCTCTGCCATTAGGAAAAGTTATTTCATTTATTACCTTTGTATTTTTACTGACAACTAGCGGGAGAGGTACTTGTGGGATTTTCTGCCTCAAATGCCAAAACAATATTGCGATATCATGCATTTTGACTTGGCGTGGAGACAGGGTGCTCTAAGCTGGTCTGCCTCAGGTGGCAAAATGCATTGGAACAGTCCTGCCTATATCGGTGCTAAGCTTGGCTTAGTGGTCAGATCTGTACCATTTTTTAGGAAACATATGAAGTACGTGGGGTTGGTTTCAAAGTGATACAGCAATTTAAAACCAGCCTTTCTTGCTACCTTAAATCCATCCATCCAAATGGCTGGAAAAAGGCTTCACCCTTAGAACCTAGCTACGTATTATGGAGATGTGTGGCTGCTGCCATCTTCCAAGTAAATGCAGTAACAGAAATGTGTGGCATGATGACCTCATGCTCAGCATTTTCCTGCCTCCCGTTGGGGAGCAGAAAGGCATTAGGCACTGTAAGATGAAATCATGCTTCTGTTGTTACTGGATGAAGCTGGGGAAGAGGCAGGTTGTGCCTTTAGCTACCAAGGAAAACTGACCTGACTCCCATCTTGCAATCCATGACACAGGGAGAGTCAAAGTCAGCCAGGAGATCTTCCATCTGATTGTAACGCTCCCCATCCTTCACTATGTCCCCATGGTAGGCAGGAACATACGGCTTAAGGACATCATTCATCAAGCGGTCCAAGCAGCGCTGTTCAGACTCGCAGTGCTTCTTCAGTATCCTCCCATTAGCTGCAGCTTTGAAGCTACCTGAGAGACAGAACAAAAAGCAAAGGATAACATTGAGTTTTCCACTGGGTACAGAAAAGGTTTCACACAGAAAAGGTTTCACTTGTTCCCTGCCTCTAACAAAATGGTTAAGTGCAGTGGCGTCAAATAGTATTTCCAGGCACAACGCAGTCATGTTTACTTCAAAAAAGATCCTAGTTAGCAACTCCAGATCATTCAGGGGCACATGCATGTGCACATGTTCAAAAGGGTGTGGTGCTAGAAGATGCTCAGATATGCAAGGGAGTGCTAATACATAATGGAAAACTTTCAGGTTATCTTTAGTGTACCCTTAAACATCAGGCTGAAAGGCTAGGCAACTGGAAAGCCTGGGAAACAGCAAGGAAGTCTGGTTCCTAGGTTAAAACTCTAGGTGAATTTCTCCATTCTAAGGCCAACTCATCAGTGGAATAAGCCTCCTTGAGGGTTTTCAAGGCAAGGTTGACAACCATCTGCCAGGGATATATTGTCAGGCTGTTCTAAATAAGAGAAGAGTGTTGGCCTGGACTGGATCCCAACAGATTTCAAACACTGTTCGTTTCGGAGCAAAGACTTGTTCTGGCGAGGACATCAGAGCATTTTGATGGCAGAAGTTATGTGTCCTTTTTCTGTGGCTCAGACATTAACATTCATCCTTGGGCCATCTATTACAGGTGCCATAGATTTCCCGAGGTTTGTACGCACCCTAGCATTTGGCTCAAGCCACCCCCGTAGAGACGACCTAGTGCAAGCACTTATGTTTCAATTTCCAGAAACAATTTGCGTTAAGGTAGCTAATTATCTTAAATCCACCAAGAGACTTCCGAAACACTTTCTCTTTATTAGGCGGGAGTTTCCCTTTGAGATTACACAGCACAACCTAAATCTTCTGTACCTGCATGCCCTGCTAGCTGGATCCAGGGATATTTCTTCTTGAAGGACATGACGAAAGGAGACCAGTGCACCATGTTCTTGATCTTCCGCCATGACTTGCTCTAGAAAGGGTGAAAAACAAGTATAGTTCACGCAAACTGTAATCCCAGTAATATCTGACCTAGAGACAGTGGTTTAAATGTGAAAGGGGAAACACTGGTGAAGAACAAGCTGAGGCAGGAAACTAAGTCTATGTTACAATAAGCAGTTAAATAATCCAAGTATTGACCAATCATCTGTTGTGTGCCCCACCTTTGAAGCTATATACAGACGGCCAGTCGTTCACAAATTCGTTATATACATACACACTCATTCAACTTCCTGTTCCTGTGTGAATTTACAGAGGTGAGAGAGAGAGAGAGAGAGAGAGAGAGAGAGAACGAACAGCTTGCTTCAAAAAGAAAAGGACACCGTCCTATTAATACAATAAGAGGGGGGGAGAGGAACACTGAAGAGTGTTCACCTCTTCCTCTTCAGGCAAGAACTGAATTACTGTGCACACGCCCTTGAGAAATTCTCTGCCCTTTTGTATTTGACATTTGTTTTTGCCGTGTCCCTGAATCCAGGAACCTATTTTTGTTCTCCTGAGAAAGACATCTGCTTTTGCCATTAGTTCTGAGTACACGAATGTCACTTTGACCAGAGGAAGTACTACCCACAATGATAACAATTTCACCTTTGATTAGGTGTGTCTCTCATGTGTGCATATGAGCCCAATTTGGGGTACGGTGGGGTGGGGGGAGGCAGAATAGGGCTATGCGCTACATGAAGAAGTACTTTCTTTTATCTGTCTCAAATCTTTCAATATCACCTTCACTCCACAAGTTTGAGTGTTATTGGACAGGGAGAAAAAGCATTTCCTTGGTAACAGAAAACAGGAATAAAAAATAAAGAAAGTTTTAAATTATGCTCCTCTGATTGGGGATGATGACTATCAGTTACACAATGAGAGAGACATATAGTTCAAACTTGGAAGGATAAAAAATACCCACCATTCATTTCTCAAGAGGCTGCACATCTTACTGCCCTTGCTACATTTGAACATATATCTTGTAATCATCAATCAATTTCTTCTGGATATCTATTTGGACATATGGACTCTGCATGTTTGAATTAGGATTGATGGATTATTCTTACTGTTAGTGTGAGCTGACGTCGTTTCTTTCTTTTTTCTTTCTGTTATATTTGCAACAAAACATATATTTAAAAAGAAACTAGACAGTCTTAATATTAACAAAAGTTGCAATTAATTTTAGGTGGTGTGTAACGGTTCCTTGCAACCATAAAAGGTGCATACCCAAGATATTTTTAACTGATTAGCTTTTTCTGTCCTAATTTTAGCAAGATGAAGAGTAAAAGGGCAGATTTCTCCTCCCCCCACCCCCCACCTCTTTTAAACAGAGATGTTGAGTTAAAGGTTACAAGTATGAAATCATGGGATGGTAATAACTGGAAATTAACATTGAAATCCTATACTGTACAGATTTATTTGGGTGTAAAGCTCGCTTCAGGGGAGTCTCCACTTATGGGCAAAGTGGAACGTAGTCCTGCCATGATTTTGTCCCCCACAAACCATCCAGAGCCACAGTTCAGTCTTTCTCCTGTCACTCACAACCATATTTATACATTTTCAGGCCTATGACAGCCCAGTCTAAGCCAATCAAAACCATGCATTCTTCCTATGGATGTTGCTCTTTCAGCATCTGCATAGTTCATTTGCTCCCTAGCTTGTTGCAGTGTGAGTGAGAAAGAGAGGGGAAGAGGGGAAGAAACTCAATTTTATCTCCTTTTTTTGGCCACATTGCAGAGGACAGAGAAGAACTCTCCCCAGGTTTCCCTGGTTTTAATTTAATCTCTGGAGCAACATGCATAGTTCAATCCTATTAATACTTACTTGGAAGTCAGTCCCACAGTTATTCAAAGTTTTTTTAAAAAACCAACCAACTACGTAGGGTCAGGTACCAAGTTAGCAAAGTTTACAGAAGGAAAGTTTTCCATCCCTTCTCCTCCTGCCACAACCACCTGTGCCCCTGGAAAAGCGTCTCCCTGGAGTCACAAGACTCCATACAACAATTTGGAGTGCTCTTGGCAAAGAAGAGGAGAATCACCCCAAATTTGCCCAATTCTGGGCAACTCTATCCTTCTCCATCAGCTCACATTATTCAGGAGGGGCTGTTTGGAGCAAAGGAGGGAGAAGAGGGCAGGCTATTTTTTCCTTTTGTGAGCTTTCTTAAGTGATCTTATTTCAGAACCCAAGCTGTTTAGACTCAAGGAGCAAATAATCTTGAATCAAAGGGCATTATCTATGCATGTGTCACAACCTTCCACAGGCCCTTGCAGTCTCCCGGTCCTTGTGTACATGGGACCGCCTGAAATGTGCACGTAAACATTTAGGAGTAGCAATGGCAGGACCAGGGGAGATCAGCCTAGCAATGAGGTTCTTTTACAGAACCAAACTGGCAATTTGTCAGCAACCTCTCCTTTCCCTCTACCAAGTCCAGGTTTAGTCAAAAGTTGCAGCCTTGCCAAATTGCTGTCAAATGTTTCTGAAGGCATCTGCCTAGACCAACATGTGTGTTTCCAAGAAGACTGCCAGGAGCACTGTACTTTGGCTCTTTTGTTCTATGCTGGCAGAGAGCACAGTTGGATTCCCCTTTTGCTTTTTTTTTGTTTTGTTATTTAAGCAGCCCTTTGCTTTGACTGATGTAAAAAAAATAAAAAAAAATCTCAAAGGAGAGTCTCCAAGGGAATTTGGGCTTCACATCAATAAGACTCAACTTGCCCAGCAGAGGAATCCTCCTACGAAAACACAAACATAAGTCACTCAGTCCCAGGATAAAAGTGACTGCCAGAGCAGTAACTGCTCTGCAGCCAAGGTTTTGTTTCCTCGGTGGTTAGCAATCATATAGCAAGAGAAAACCTTGAAGCACTTCAAAGCCAGACTGAAATGAAGCAAAGCTACGTCAAGGATAGTACACAAACCATCACGGTACGTTTCCTAAACAATATTGTAAGCAGACTCCTAGCAAAACCAGCCCTTCCCATTCAAAGTTAGTAATGCCCCAATGATGAGTTAAGAGTCCTAGTGATACCTATGTTGGGAAACTCTACAAAACATGTGTTAAAAGATGGGGGTGGGGGGATGAATGGGATCTTTGTGTGCAGGACACTGAAAAACTCTTTCCCACGGCAGAACTACGCGTGGAAGAGTAACATTTAAGGATTTCTCATCTGTGCGTCGCCCAGTTGTGTGTGACATATGCACACCAGAGCTCGTTCCCTGGGAACAGTGGCATTGTGCGCATACAATTGGGCAATGCACAGATAAGGAGTCCTTAAATGTTAACATTTCAGCATTTGCTGCTGCCGCACTGAAGGATTTTTAAGGCAGTGGCCTGCACACAAGAAAGGTCAACTTTTATATAATGGTTGCGATGAGCCAAAAGGGTACACCCATATTATCAAACAGGGACAGATTCAATGAGTGGCTATCAAGTTTCCTCAAAAGAAAAGACCAGATCTTAATGGATTTTGAACTTAGGGGCTTTCCATCGGGGGATATTATGAACAACAATAGGACGAAACTTTTGCTTCTTCAAGGCTCAGGCTTACATGGAAGTTGACACAGTTCTCTAGCAAGAAGAGGGTGTTTTGCTTCACCAACCAACCGATTGTGCTGGGTTTTCTTAAGTCTGAGTTCTTAAGGGCTGCCTCGAGGGGAAGAATTCAGTGCCATGCTTTTCTGATTGTTGCATCAGTGTAAGGAATTTCGGCTTGTCAGACAGAACAATCCCCCTTCTCCTCTACCTGTGCACTCTTCTGGGGGTTCTGGGGATTTTCCTGACACCCCGAACCAATTTAGGGGACATGGGGGGGGGGGGAGAGAGAAGGAAATAAAGCATTTTGTACAGGCTTGCACTGATGTGACTCATTAGTTGAATCCTGCCCTGGGCATTTCTTTGCAGGTGCATTCTGCTACATGTCACTGATGCAATAATAGTGAATTAGTAGTGTATTTATACTGGACTATCCACACAACATTCTGCTTTATTACTTGTTCTGCAACGCTTCCCCAATGTTACTGCGTTATTGTTGTCTGGAGGGGTGCTCTTATATCGTAGTTCAACAAAAGCAGGGCAGATGACCCCTCCCTCCATGGAACGTCTGTGGCATAAAAAAGCATGCAGGATTTCAGCAGGATGGCATGGGGTACATACTCTGACTGGAAATGGCCACATATCCACCACAAAGTTTGCAGGTGCAAAACACTGTTGAATACAGGCTATGTGCAGCTACCCTGATACCATCATGAGTGCAAATGATCATGAATGCGCATTTTAAAAAGACGCCTGGAGGGAGCCTCTAGGTCAGCCTTTCATACAGCCTTCCATCACGAAGCTGTTGGGCTACTGCGGCTTCATGCAGAAGTCATCTATCGCATCCCTATAAAAGGGAACTGTGCATTTCAACCAAATCATTGCAGCAAGATTGTGAACTAAAACACACATTTGCTATCCCTGTGTGTTCCTCATTCATAAACAAGGAAGCTTATGAACTTTCTCCCTTCTGAATTTTTGCTTGGATTTGGGGATCCCAAATTAGCTAGTTTTGTTCCTGGAACAGCTCCAAGGAGTTTATGACTTGCTTCTCTTGTAATGCTATAATCTCCTTATGTTGCGGCTGAGCTTCTCATGTCATCTTCAGCTATGCTGGAAAGCCACAAGGAAGCAATTCTCTATTACAGAGAGGTTAAATTCATACATAAGGGAGCAGTGTGTTAAGGTTAGAAGCAGCAATTTGCTGTGCAAACACTTTGCCCTATTGTGTAAAGTGAAGATATCTAAGAGCATCCAAGAGAGTCCTAAAGGAGGAGACAGAATGTTTGCCTAGAAATGAGTTGACCTATTTTTGTGAGATGACATGGTGCCAACAGTCATGGCAACTGGGGGGGGGGGGTGAGGAGCAAGACCATTCCATGATTATTAATGAGGGTGGGGGCTTTTTAGGAATGAGTTGAGGTTTCTGCAATGATAGCATCCTCTCTCTTTCCCCCACAAAAAATTAAAAAAGCAAAACATCTTCCCTTCCCCACCAAGCAATAAGTTTTGTTTATTGGCTAAGGACATGGAACAGCAGACTACTCTGCCCATTAACAAGCCTTGGCAGGTAGAAACATCTGGCTGAACAGCTCATTGCTGGAAGCACAGCTTCAAGCCTGGCTCCAGTCCTTAGGAATGCTCTCGTTCTGGCACATACAGAATAGCCCTTACAGAGGCTTCAACCCAAGTGGTACATGACCCCAAAGGTGTCAGCTCCAGTTGACAATTGCTCTCTTACAGCAAAGTTTTGCTTTTCCATTGTCCCAATACTGGGCCCCAGACTAGCCATCGTTCCTCCATAAATCAGGAAAGAAAGCCCTGCTCTAGCTTTCCAAAATGAAACTTAGAAGATTTTGGTAAATGATAACACAACCAGCAAGTCCAGTCCTATTTTTCATCTGAGTGAGCACTTCAAGCGGCTGATTGCGGGACATGAAATGGATTTGCTGCCCTGCCCCAAGCAGCAAAATGTCTTGGGGGCAGCCCTAACCATCAGTCCATGTGTGCCAGTATGCACACACGGTTACCCGACGTCTGGGAGTCCCCATGCCAAAGAGAGGAAGAACCACCACCATATGGACTTCAAGTGTCAGGATGAATTTGACCGTGCTGTGGAGCAACCCACAATCTTTCCTTCAACACAGCAGAAAGGCCTCACAGCTGTCAGAACTGCCAGGACTGAACAAGATGCCAAGGCTTCAAAAGTTCACCTCCTGGCACACATTTCCTTGTAAATAAAGAAAAAACAAGGCCCAAGAGGGAAGGGAGGTGGAATTTTAGCACCTCACTTGAATCTCACATATGTCTTTGAGGGACAGGAAAAGCAAGCATAACTATGCCCTATGTTGCCATTCCTCCCCCACCCTCCAAAGCTACTTCCAGCTGGTGAAAACAAGCAGTCGCAAGCCATAAAGCCTGGACTGAAGTTAAATCCACACAGATAAGGATGCTTTACAAGCTCATAAGAGGTGATGTGTCCGACTTAACTTGCTGGTTCTTTCACCTGGCCTTGCTCCTGCAAGAGAAGATGATTGAAGAACATAAGAAGAGCCTGCTGGACCACTGGACCATTTAGTTCAGCATCCTGTTCTCATAGTAGCCAACCAGATGCTTGTGGGAAACCCACAGGCAGGATCTGAACACAAGAACATTCTCCCCACCTGCGGTCTACGGCAACTGGTATATGGAACCATTACTGCCTCCAGCTGCAACCTCTGACAATCTTCTCCTCCATGAATTTGTCCGATTCTCTTTTAAAGCCACCTAAGAGCTCCTTGATCTGAAGGCATTAGTAGGTGATAAGGACTGCCTCCATGTGCAAAAATCTCTACCTGCTGATTCTGCAATGCCAATTAAGTACTGACAGAGCATGTGCGGAGGCAGTTGTATGCACGCTTTGTATAATTTTTAAAAAATAAAAATCCAACCCAGGAAATGCGCAAAAACACACAGGCAATTATAAATTTGCTTGTGCAGTTTTCTGGTTAGGAGCCTGGCCGGAAGAGAAAAGAAAGCAATTGTAAATTCTCAGCAGACACTTTTTTGGATTGCTGCAACACGTGCTATAGAAATTTTTAATGTGGTTTGCTTGTGGAGTTTTCTGGGATGATCAAAAGAAAGTTATATACGTGTGTGTGTGTGTGTGTGTGTGTGGATATTTATAACTATGCTCCCCCATTCAGGAAGGCACCAGAAATAGTTAAAAGAACCGACAGAAAATAAACGAAAGCACCGAGGAAGTAGTGAGTGTGAAAAGGGGAGTAGCAGAAAGTGACAAATGATGCACCCAAAAAAATTATAGAATTGGAAGGGACCACGTGGATCATCTGGTCCAACCCTCTGCAGTGCAGGAATCTTTCACCCAACATGGGGCTCAAACCCACAACCCCGAGATTGAGAGCCTCATGCTCTACCAACTGAGCTATCCTTCAGGTTCACACAAGATTTATGTGTACATGGGATGCAGGGAAAGAGTGCAAGTGTTCCACTACACTTTCTGCCAAATATTTAAACACAGACAGCATGCTTATCAGTGTGTGTGTGTGTGTGTGTGTGTGTGTGTGTAAACAGGGAGCTCTTGTACATCTTATTTAATATATGGAATCCACTCAGCTCTTCCTAGCAGGCTTCCATAAAATAAAAGCTGATCTGCAAGTACAGAAGTGTGTGGGGTTGTACCACTTCTGTCATGTATGCACCACCCCCCTTACCCAGTGAAAAGGGGCTAATGTCATGATCTAACAAGGATCTTGAATTTGCCCAGTGCCTTTCAGGTGTTGTTGGGACTCCCAAACCCCATCAGCCCCAGCCAGCCTGCCCATAGTTAGGATAATGGGATTTGTAATCTACCAACACCTAACTCTAGCCTATTTGAAAAGTCAGAAGTTTGCACATTCTACCACCTCCAAAGTACTCAGTCAAATTCTTGGGTTAATTTGAGATGATTCATGGCAATTGGGACATTGTTGTTGTTTAGTCGTGTCCGACTCTTCATGACCCCATGGAACAGAGCACGCCAGGCACTCCTGTCTTCCACTGCCTCCCGCAGTTTGGTCAAACTCATGTTAGTAGCTTCGAGAACACTATCCAACCATCTCATCCTCTGTTGTCCCCTTCTCCTTGTGCCCTCAATCCTTCCCAGCATCAGGGTCTTTTCCAGGGAGTCTTCTCTTCTCATGAGGTGGCCAAAGTATTGGAGCCTCAGCTTCAAGATCTGTCCTTCCAGTGAGTACTCAGCGCTGATTTCCTTAAGAATGGATAGCTTTGATCTTCTTGCAGTCCATGGGACTCTCAAGGGTCACCTCCAACACCATAATTCAAAAGCATTACCTTTCTAATTATGTGGGTCTTTATTTCAAATGGTTAAGTTTTCAGATTTGCACTAGGTACTACATTAGTAGCAAAGGAGATTCTACTTTTTAGTGCGAGCAATAACTTTTGTGCAGCTAATAGCCTATCCAGTCTTAAAACTGAGACATTCCACTTTACTGACTTATATCTTGAACTAAGCTACAGACTTGTGAAACTGATACTATCTCCGCTGTAAAAGTCAATTAGTATTTTAAGAGTTCATATTTTAAATAATTCAAGGAGTATCAATGTTTGCTCTCTCACATTCCCCCAAAAAGAACAGTTCCAAAACACTTCTCAGTACGTACCCATACAGATCCTCCCATACAGATTATAACCGGTTTTAGAAATATGTCTGTATTAATTTTTTTACAAATAAAAGAGAGTCTTAAAACCAAGTACTGCTGAGCAACCTTGACCTTTTAAATCCTTTCAAGGCTTTTTAATTCCCTGTGGTTTATATTTGACATTAGCTACGTTAGTGTTTGGACAGCACTTTAATGATTTAAAGTGCTATTTGAAGTTTTATTGTTTTGCAAACTTCAGGAATGGAAACTGCAAATGCTGGTAAGTGTGCTAAAGAGCTCGTCATGGCCACTGGAGCTTCTGTTAAGTCAAACAGATTGTCTGCTGAGCTTCTAACAGGGATCTAGCTCCAGATATTGCTGGTCTACAGCTCCTGCCATCCCTCTTGGACTTCCCATCAGCCTCTAGAGGACCACAGATTGCCCATCCCTGCTGTATATGGACAAGGCAAAAGAACCCCATTAATTTTTTTCATTTTCATCCAGATCATCAGTTGAAAAACTTATACAACATTTTAAAATATAAGCACAGTGGAGGGGTGCACAAACATCTCTCTCTCAACATCCATCTCAGAGTTTTACTGCAGGTACCATGTGTAAATACAAGCGACTCCCCATTTATGCAGTGGTTGTGTTCTGGGCCCCTACGTGCATAGGCAAATACCACGTTAAGTGGAGCGCACCCTCTAAACCCCCATTATGCAACCTCTCTGCCACTCTTTTTCCAATCCATATAAAAAAAACACTGTATCCAAAAATACCTACAACTAGAGTTGAAGCTCTGGGGCTGGCTGGAGGATGCACAGAAAACCAGCGGTTGCACTACTTCTCCTTATCATTGGCAGTTCATCCTCCTAAAGAAGAATACTCTGAAGAAGGCGCTCAAGGTCTTACAGGCAACTAGACTCATAAGGGGAAGAAATGGTCTTTAAAGATGGTGACTTAGTACTGATCTAACAGCCTTTGAAAAGGTAAGGAGAAGCACCTCAAGAGAACCCTAGTACAGTGGTACCTCGGGTTACAGACGCTTCAGGTTACAGATGCTTCAGGTTACAGACTCCGCTAACCCAGAAATAGTACCTCGGGTTAAGAACTTTGCTTCAGGATAAGAACAGAAATCGTGTGGTGGTGGCGCGGCAGCAGCGGGACGCCCCATTAGCTAAAGTGGTGCTTAAAGTTAAGAACAGTTTCAGGTCAAGAACAGACCTTCAGAACGAATTAAGTTCTTAACCCAAGGTACCACTGCATCAGCACAAAACTAATATATTTTTGCTTTCAAATACTCTCAGAACAAACCAGCCAGCATTCTTTACTGGCCACAGCTACAAACCAACATTCAAAGGAAGTCCTCATATAGTCCATGAGGTCGCAAAGGTGCTGTGGAGGTCAGGGTTCACCACAAAGTGACACAGCTGATGCATTAGATATAACATATAATGAAAAATAATTCCTGGCCCTTGCTGTCACACACTTCTCCAAATACTGCAGTGGATTCAAGAGGGCACTTAAGCTGCATACCTGGACGATAAAAGTAATACAAACACACACCTTCTATTGCAAGCAGATTGCATGGTTCCAGAATCTCTAGCCACAACTATAATCATTTCCATCTTGCCTGGATTAAAGTTAAACTTGTTAAGGCACATCTATCCAACCACAAGCTCCAGTTACTAATTCACAAAAGATACAGCTGCTGCCAGCTGCTTTGCTAAAAGAAACAGAAAGGTGGATTTTATTATATTAATTATATCAAATCTCAAATGTACGGACAATCTCTTATTGCAGCTTCTTATGGACATTAAAGCATAGGTGACAAAATTTGATTCTGTCCCACCTGCTACACTGGCCATGAGACAGAGCAAGTCTCTCTGCTGATCACCTTATGAGCTTGCTTAAAAAAAAAAAAAAAAAGCAACACAAAATCAGTCCAGTGCCAAACCTTCAACCCTGACCCTATCATATGTTCCAGATGCTACAATATTTCCTTTTTTGATAGATTTACAAGCTTGGTGGATCAGGGGAATGCTATGGACATAGTGTATCTTGATTTCAGTAAGGCTTTTGACAAAGTCCTCTATGATATTCTTGTGAAGCTGGTAAAATGTGGACTGGACAAAATAACTGTTATGTGGATTTGTAGCTGGTTGACTGACCAACCCCAGAATACTCATTAATGGTTCTGTGTCATCCTGCAAAAAAGTGACAAGAGGGGTACTGCAGGGTTCTGTGGTGCAAAACTAATGCTATTCTAGGCTGCTTCATATCTAGGCTGCATCTAGACATGATAGGCATCTTCAAATATCTAAATGGTTGTTGCATGGAAGATAGAGCAATCCCCCCCCCACTCCATCTATGATCTAGCTGAGATTCCTGCATTGCAAGGAGTTGAATTAGATGACACTCAGGGTCTGTTCCAACTCTACAGTTCTATGATTCTATGTCATGTTGCAGTGTCAAACTCTAATGAGCGTTTTTTTAAAAAGCTTTCCTCTCTCTCCTCTCCTTGTGTGCCCCCAAATTGGCTTAAAGGGGTGCCAGGAGAAACCCCAGAACAGCAGGGGAGGAGAGAAGGGCTCATTCCATCTGGAAAGCTGCAATGCTTGCACACAGAACTACTGGAAAAACGCAATGTTGAATTCCACCCTATTACATCAGTCCCTTTTGGCACTGAACTGTCACTGGCTGTGCACTAAAAAGCTTTCCCAGACTCCCTGCTTTAGGAATAGTCCATCAAGTATGAAACTAAGTTGATCTAGCAAGCTTTACACTAGTGTACAGAAAAGAGGAACAAAAATCTTGCAACCCTACCCATAACGTGGTACAAACAGAACCAGTATTGTAATAGAAAGTTCCTGCTCAGTTGATCACAATAGCACAGGAGAGGTTAAAACATTTCTGTTTCAGAAGTGGTGCAAGTTGTCTTAGGAGAACTGACAGAACTATGACTTGCATTGAATATTTCTAGTTAACCTTACATACAGCAGAGCTCTAGTAAAAATAAAAGAAGCTATTATTCATCAGCTTATATCCCATCTTTTGGCCTAATTCAAAACCACAAGCTTGTTTACAGGTGGGACTCAGGTATGGTGCTCTCATTTCTGCGCACTCCTTGGGTTAACTTCATCCTATATTTTTAGGGCTTAATGTATCAGAACCAGTACCTTATATTGTGGCTGAAAAGCTAAGTGATAAAATAAAATTCCTTTGGAACTGGAATGAAGTGAATGTAGAAGTTAGTCCTGGCCAACAGCCAGGATGCCACATTTATAGCCAGTTGTCCAGTTGATGTATAATTGTGGTCAGACAAGGGTAGTCAACATGGTGCTCTCTAGATGTTGTCAGACTACAACCCCATCAGCCCCAGCCAACATGGTCAATGGTCAGGGACAATGGGAGTCGCAGTACAACAACATGAAAGGCCCTATGTTTTCCACCTGTACTGTAGGAGAAGACAGAGCTGGCAAACCAAAGCTAGCTAAAGACACTCCTGGCAACAGATGCCATTTGAACATCCAGATGTAATGCTAGGTCTAGGAGCATATCACCACCACCAACAAATTATACTCAAGTCATATCAGCAGTAGCTCCCATGTATATCTACATGGATGGTAAGCTGAGAAACCACAGCTAATTATGAAAGACCTAGGTGCAGGCACGCAGTATGGTTATATGGTAAATCCATAACAAGGAAAGCTGCCTTTACTTTGCCCCTTTGAGTCATCCATCTCTTGAAAGTAAACAAATCATGTTCAGAAATTCTCAGCACAAAGCAATTTGATTTGATTTCTGGAGTCTTAATCAAGACTTCTGGGGAGTCATCATATGTCAAATATCTACCCAAAATATTGGGGGGGGGGGGACTAAATGTTCTTGCATACAACAGGAAATTGTAGTTTTAAAAATATGAAGCTGTTCATGTTGTAAACCTGAAACAAGGAAATCATTTACACTTTTGTATATTCAGGATCTCCCCCAAGGCATTTACAAGGGGGATAAGAGTACATTTTTCAGCTTTAGTAGATCTTATGCCGACCCATTAGATGTGGTAAAGAAATTATTCTCTAACCTAAAGAGGAAACAGTCACTGGAAACAGGAAAGTGGAATGTTTTAGCATTAATAATAGAAAAGCATTCAAAAGACTTGCAGATGCCTGCAGAGTCGCAAAACAATGCTGAGATAACAGTCCAGGAACCATTCTTGCACAATCTATTATTCTGCGTAGGGTGTGCCCATTGTTATTTATTTATCCATTAGTATCTGGGCCTTCCGCTACAGAGTTTAAGGAAAGTAACATGGAATTTTCCCATTTTATCATCTCAGCAACCCTGTGAGGTAGGTTATTGCTGAGAAACAATGACTTGCCCAAACCTACCAAGAGAGCTTTTTGGCTGAACAAAAATGTGAACACAGTTCTCCTGATAGACTAATACATCAAAAGCAAAACAGAACATCTGAGCCTCACTTCCATTTTTGGTCAATTTAAACATGCAGCAGGTAGCCGGATAAATTTATTAATGTTCCCCCATCTAAGCACTATTAATAATGATAATAAATTCACCTCATTAAAAGCTGAAAGACAGCTCACCAGGAGGAAAGGCCCATCTGAGCCTCTTTCCTGCTGTATTATTTTCTACTTGTGGGGAGTTCTTAAAACTTTTTAATGCTTCCATATGTAATCTGCCAACCTGATGCTGCGTAACTTGGGCAAATGGAAAGAGATCAATGTGTCTTCATATAGTGACATGGCACTTTCCAAGTAGTGGAGCAATTCCTTTCTATCATACTAAGGCTGTACATTTGTGAAGACATATGGAGGAAGATGATTATCAAACGGATACAGCCTTAGGGCTTAGCTTCTTACAGAAAACATCCTGTCCCCATAGCTTTATTGGGGCAGTATTTTGGAAACTCTAGCATTTGACTGCTCAGTTATTACTGAATCATAAAACTGTAGAGTTGGAAGGGACCCCAAGGGCCATCTCACCCAACTTCTGCAATCTCAGCTAAAACAGGTGGCCATCCAACCTCAGCTTAAAAACCTCCAAGGAAGGAGAGTCCACCACTATCTGAGGGGGACTGTTCCACCATCAACAGCTCTTACCAACAGAAAGTTCTTACTGATGTTGAGTTGGAATCTCTTTTCTTGTTACATGAATCCATTGACTCGAGTCCTACCCACTGGAGCAGGAGAAAACAATCTTGCTCCACCTTCCATGTGGCAGACCTTTCAATATTTGAAGATGGCTATCATATCTCCTCTCAGTCTCCTCTTATCCAAGCTTAACATAACTCCCTCAACTGTTGCTCATAAGGCTTGGTTTCCAGACTTTTGGTCATCTTGGTCACCCTTCTTTGCAAATGTTCTAGCTTCTCAATACCCTTCTTAAATTGTGGTGTCCACAACTGGCCACAGTACACCAGGTGTGGTCTGACCAAGGCAGAATAGAACAGGACTATTATGTCCCTTGATCTGGACACTATACTTCACTGGACACTATATTGTGTATGGATTATGGTAGCAGGGTAAGAATGGGATGGGGTGCATGGTGTAATGGACACAGCATCAAGTTTGGATGTGAAAAAAAGATGTTCTGCTCACCAGTCACTGTCTCATCGTAGTCTCTCATTTTTGTGAGGCTAAGCGTAACCAAAGCACTTTATCCACTAGAAAACCAGAATGAAAGGAATCTGAATTCTACACTCTTTCTTTCAAAAGGGAGCTAGAGATGGATGTCAAATGCAAGCAACTCTGCAGTTACGGTCAAAGCATTGTATGTAGAGATGTCTGTTTTTACAAAAATAGAAAGTCACAAACTACTGAACTCCCCAATTGTTTCCAGCTTCCTGTTACTGGAGATTTACTACAAAACAATTTAAACAACTCTTCATCTGCATTGTTAAGCTAGCAACAGGAAATGCTACTGCCGGTTGTTGTTTTTTTAAAGAGGCTTAACCCCTGCACCAACAATCGGCTGTTGAACATTTTCTGCTTTGTTTGAAAAGCCAGTTAAATTCTTGGCATAGCTTGTAAAGTGATCCTCTGCTGGCACAGAGCTAGCCACAGCGACATCAGGAAGCCCTGGTATTTCCCTGTTCTCCGGCATCTTTCGAGGGGGACACGAAATCACACCATCAGGCCTGTGCAAAAACTGACAGGCAAACTTGCCTATTAAGAAGTTCTGTGCAGTGACCGGTTGCTAAGCTACCGCATGACGTCCAGGCAGGCCCCGTTTCTACATTTTTCCATTACATTGTCCTCAGTCAAGCTAGCTAGCCTGAACAGGAGGAGTCCCTCAAACAAGTTAGCTCTCTATAGAGATCAGCAAGAGATTACAAAAGCCCTGCAGGGCATTAGCTGCCTGATCACATGAATTTCAGCTTAGGAGTATGACTTGTGGGCACAGCGTGACAGACAATGCACTTGTTGCGGTGTACCCAACTTCTGTTTCCAAATGTGTAGTAAGTGGAACGATGGGAGTCATACTGTAGCTCCAGTGTTAACAGAAGCAGAAGGAAAGCATATTGTTGGGATTTCAGAAGTACAAGTTCTCCTAGTGTGGAGCTCACAACAAGGGATGAGGGTAGGGTTGCCACCTGTCCCTAGAAAAATGTCATCAGTGGGGTTTTTTTGGGGGGAGGGGAACCTTTTGAGGACATACTTAGATTCTAAAGCATCTTTGGCATGCATTGTGTATAGACAAAACAAAGGGAGGTTACAATCTGGATTTGGACGAAAGAACTCAAGTTCTTCCGTTTTTTACGGACTGGTCCAGTATAGCTCGCCAGAGCTCAGTAAAACTTAAGAAGTGCCCTTCTGACAGGTGGGAGAGGAGGAAGTAAAGCAGCAAGTCCCTTTGAAGTCATGCACAATACACTTCCTTCAACAGCTGTTCACATCTGGGATGAGGGCAAATGGTGTCTACATCAAAATGCACGGCATCCACACAACTCATGTATTAAAATTAATATGTGGTTCTGAATGCCCAGACATACTTGGAAATTTGAGTGAAGATCTGCAGAGGAAAAGATGTTCTGCCTCTCATATGTAAAGCAGTACATTTTTAAAAGCTGGAAATTAAAAGCTACATTTGCATAGCTTTCCCCCAAAACACAGATTTGAATATGCTGTTTGTCCAGCTGTGTAAACACCAAGGCCAGAAAGCCTTCCCCTGTCCGGCTGCTAATATACCTGTAAGATAGGATGTATATCTTCTGAATGGAGAGAGATTATAGCAAGAGGTATTTGAATTATAAATACTACTGCAGCAATATGAATTACAAATATTCCTATTAAAGAGTAGGCAATATTGCTTAGGAATTGTAAAGCAGGCAACAGTGCCTCTCTCTCCAAATAAAATCCTTTAGCTATAACCACAATGTTATGAGGATTGTCTTGCTGACTCAGACAAAGGGTCCCTTCTTCCCTCACTGGCCTCCACCACACTATCAGTGGGGAGCTCCCAAGCATGGCACAAAGTAGATATGCCCTGCCCCCAGTAATCAGAAGTACATGCCAATGTCAGAAAGGGGGGTGGGGACTGGTGGCTGTTTAAGTAAAGGGATGGAATAGAAATGGTTGAATTGAATACTGCATTTATTCAGCCAGGTCACTTCTTTGGAATTTAGAACTTCAAACATTACATTCTCTCTTGCTTGCTGCATATTCCTCACTTCGTAATTTATCCTTGTGATAAAGGTTCATACAGTCAAAACACATTGGATTCAATAGCAGGTGGGATTGCCAAAGTCAATTTTCCTGGAACCTCACACTCTCTTTTCATTTATTATTTTTTAATTGCCAAGTACGTAAAACTGAATGTGCACAAGTTAAATGCATGTAAGTTGTGAGTTACCTGTATTTTCACAGCTACATGTTTCAACAAAATATACTTTTCATTTGCTTTAGACTTCCTAGATTTCTCATGCTGCGATATCAACACATCCTCCAATGTATTTCCAGTAGAAAAAGAGTCAGCTTGTCATGGAACAGTATATATCATTTTTAGGCAGTTGAAGCAGCCTTAGTAAAGGCCCACGGGGGGCCACTGCTAATCCACTAAAGCATTTGCCTTCTACAGATGAATATATCAATATACACAAATGAACTGACGGCATACATTTGCAACTGAAACTGGTGTAAGTTTATTTGCAAGTTTACTCCAACAATCAGACACCTGGAAGCAAATCACCCATTTTGTCACTTCAGAGACTACAATGGAAGGCTACACTTCAGTAAGACTTTCAGAAGTCATTAAATACTTGCTTTTTTATTATTTTTTATTTTACAAATTTATAAATGGCTTCACAACCTAAAGTCATCAAAGTAGTGTACAAGTTAAAATGACAACTAAAACCATTCTTACAAACTGTAAAAACAATAAAACAATTTCTACAGGTGCACAGTTGCTATTCCATAAATGACTGAGCCACACCTCAGAGAAAACCTCAGAAGGCTGGATGGATCTGCAATTTGAAAAGTCTTGTTTCTAGTACAGTGGTACCTCGAGTTACAAATGCCTCAGGTTACAAACGCTTCAGGTTACAAACTCCGCTAACCTAGAAGAGTTACCTCAAGTTGAGAACTTTGCTCCAGGATGAGAACGGAAATCGTGTGCCAGCAGCGCAGCGGCAGCAAGAGGCCCCATTAGCGAAAGCATGTCTCTAGTTAAGAACAGTTTCAGATTAAGAACAGACCTCTGGAACAAATTAAGTTCGTAACTAGAGGTACCACTGCACAGCTTAAGTACCCCTCTAGGACATGCAGTGCTCTCAAAAGTTCCTCATCTGAGGAGCACGGTTGCCAAACAGGGATATATAGAGCAAGTTGATGCCTTAGGTAACATGGACCGGAGTGAGAAGTAGTGAGGAGGCTCAAGAGTTTCCTGTGGTGTTTGTTGGCATTTGTCTGTCTCAAGAGTCAATGGAGTGTGCCTCTTGGGATGAAGTCAAACCACTGGAGAATCACAGTGTCTGCAGAGACTGGGAACTTGCAACTGCTGCCTCCTAAGCTGTTTTTGCTGCGTTGGCAGTGCCGTAGTGACCTCCTCGGGGCACAAGTCTGGGCTGTGTGCATGGAGGTCCTGGGTTGCCCAGATGACAAGACCCTCCTCTCGGCCTCACTGATCTAGTCCAGAGGAAAGCAGAGCAATTTGGCACCAGCTGCCGGAAGGAGCTATCCAACCATCTTAGGGACTCAACTCCAGATTTGTTTGGGGTTTACTACTTAGCCCTTTCAAGGGCTAAGATGTCCCGCAAGGCAGCAGGTGTGGATTTTTCAGGTTTACTCCCAAAGCCTTCCTCATGAATGAGTACAGGCAGCAGAGATTTAGGATCAGAGTTTTCCTCCTCTTAGATGGGCTACCTTCCCAGGTTGACAAGCCTCACCTGCCCCATATTTCCCTCTACAGCACATGCAGTACCAGCCTTCTTGACCGTCAAACCCACTATTGGACTCGTCCATTCAATCCATCATAGTCTATCTTCACATGCAGAAGAAGTCCCTAACTCACCAAGGGTTTGAGACCCATTGGCTAGCCTCACCTAGTTTAGCTGGTCAATGAAAGCCCGTTTCTCAGGGTGTGGCTGCTGTTGTATGCTGGCAGCTACTAGGAGCCACAGGTGAGAGCTGAGTGCAGAGTAGGGACCAAAAGTGGACAAACTACCCCAGAAGGAGCAAGTCCCAAGAGAGGTTCTACCCCTCCCCTAGCACCCGATACATTGGGGACATTAAACATAGATATTTTTACAGCAAAACCAAGATGTAACTACAGTATTAGAAAGAAAATGTAAGAATTTTATGTCTTAAAAAATAGTATCAAGCAGAACACTTGATGAGCAGTTCTGTACATCTTTATGGGCATGCACAATTTATGTGGGGCTTATTTCACAATAGCACCTCAGGGCCACTTCTGTTGCATGCAATTAGCTAAGGTTATTGGTAGATGAAAGACTGCAAGCACAATTGAGTTCATGCTGAAAGCAATGTTTAATTTTAGTTCAGGCTCAGCGCTTTGCCTCATCTGTTTTGGAAACACATAGCTCAGCTCCAAGAAATGCAACATAATGAAAAATGCCTCTGATTATGTGCAGAATGCCTTCTCCTCTCTGTTGAGTAACCATACCAGCCCACAAGCATCTGGGAATAAACTTTCTAAATATGAATTTGAGCCTTTCAGGCAATATAAGCCCTGGAACACTGTATGAAGAAAGTGCTGCTCAGCATGACTATGATTCAAGACTGTGCACAGAGGAGGAAATGAGGATAAGGTTGCAGAAGGACTCAGAGGGTAGAAATTTGCAAGGTCTGGAGCGGCCCTGACCTTCCTGAACTTGATCTTTGGTCTTTTACCAGTCTGCAGTATTGTGAGCAAAAGTGAACCATTATTAGGCGCAGCTCTATCTCCCAGCAATGTCTGAAGCATGCAAGGCGAAAGCGGTCCGTTTTCACCTTGCATACCCCAGTTAATTCATTCCTCATCGGGAGAGCAGGGAAATAAAGCTGAGACATTTTGCTGAAGGTACTAAACTGAAAATCTTCACTTTAGAACGGTACATCCAACGTGTTAATTTGTGATTAGGAAGACAGGCGCCACAAGGCACAAACTATCACATTTCCCAAACTGTTAGAAACACCACAAAAGTAGTTCGGAACATCTTACACGGACTTTCAAAGAGAGGTGGCCACATCCCACAAATGGAGGAAAAAGCCCAAAGTGTTAGGTTTCAGCTCATTGCCATCAATAGCCAGTGTCCTTCCAGACAAAGCACAATAAAGCTAAAGCTAAAAAAATTAGATCATTATCATATTTCATACTAATTTGCACCGGGAATGTTTATGTTGAAAATTTACTGACTTGGGGGGGCATGTTAAGCAATAGTTAAAGTTCACCCACTGAAAGGCAAATGTTCTATCAGCTCAAGCATTGCAGGTTGCATCTTCCAGACACAAAAGGCATCTTCTAGCCCTCAGGCCTTCAACGAGTAAACGAGGCATGTACTCCGTATTTCTAGAACATCTGGCTATACACAAATGTCACAAACTACTTCCAACAGTGGTGATGTTACGTTGCGAAGCTGCTGTCAAGAATCCTAAACTAAAGCAAGTTCAATTCACTTAAGCAGCGAACCATCTGCTGCTGCATTCCTAGCCAAGATTAATTTGTGCCATGTTTGTCAACCATGCCTAGTGATTGTCATAAGTCTCCTGCCCTTGGATCCAAGCAGAGTGCCTTTACTCGTATTCTAAGAAGCCTTCCCTCGTTGGCTCTGCCAGAAGCATGGAAGCCAATTGTTACAGCATGGCTTGCTTTCAACATTATCACGACCCTTGCCAGTATTCCAGTTGTTTACCCTTTTATAGGGAGAACTGAATTCCACATTGTAACCAGGTCAGCATGAGACTGCAGTACTGGAAACAGATTTTCCAGACTCCTAGGTAAAAAGGAGCTTAAGAAGGCAGTTTCATACAGCAGTGATTCCTGGGGACTTCATTAGTAGAAGTGTTATGGCCTCCTTCTGGACATATCAGCAAGTTTTTAGAAGCCTGTTTATTATTCACTGTCTTTTCTATGGAAGAAACTCCTGGGTATCCATAAACATTCACGGGGTATGGAGGGGGGCGGAGTTTTATCTACCATGTCTGATCATTGCCCAAAAATCTCTCAATGCAAACCAATGCATTCCATCACCAGCAGGAAACTGCCCTGTGCCTATGCTTTGCATTTTGCCAATTCCACTTTGATAGACATCGTAACTAGGCCTGGGCAATATATCCATATATTGCCCAGGACCGGTATTAGGCGCAGATCGCGATGACAGCTTCAAACAGTGGTATATCACTGGTGAAACCACCTCCTCCTGAGTCCCTCTACCTCCAGCGCCCAGCGGGCTGAGAGAGAAACAAACTGCAGCCAGCGCTGGAGGCAGAGGGACTCAAGAGTGGTGGCGGTTTCACCAGCGATCTGCCTTCATACAGCTGCAGAGGGAGAAACAAGCTGCTTCGGTGTGGTGTGATACAGCTTATTCCTCCCTCTGCTTCAACAAGCCCCCTATCCCTCTGGCACACACACGCACCAGTGGGATGTGGGGCTTGCTCAGCCGGGGGGCGAGAAGGCTCAAAGAAACCCGTCTGCCCACCCATCAGCTGAGACTCTCCAGTCTCCCTTGCCCATCTCAAGGCAACAGTGGATATTGCCTCAGCTGCCACCACCTTGGACGGGTGGTGGGAGGTGCGAGCGGGAGAAGCAGACCACTCGCCCCACCCCGCTCGTGCCAAGGCAGTGGATGGGTCTGCCTCGTCCGCCACTGCTTTGACATGGGCTCCTTTCCGACATTGTGATATACTGCCATATCGTGGTGCCTAGCTGGCAGTATATGACTACGTTGCAAAACAGTTAACGCCCAGTCCTAATCTTAACTCTTGTTCGCTTTGCTGCTGTATTGGGTGGGACCCTCTACACCTCTCCTTCTGCACTGAAAAATTCCAGAAGCACAACTAGTAAAGCAGTAGATGTACGACTGTGGTGCGCAGAACAACTCCCTCATCTATAAACAGTGGTCAACAGAGCGCCATTTGAAGAAAAATGTCAAGATGAGTTTCATGGTGCCAAGTAAAGCGATTGTCTATAGCTGTAATCTCATCCATGCCCTCAAGATGCTTTAGAATACGCATGCACGGGATATTTTTCTATAATTAGTTATGTTCTTTTAAAGTATTTGGTCTCTGCAAACCACACACAGTGTCCAGTGCTCAGCAAGCACTTATAGCCTAACTGCTTGCACTGCAAAAATCAGTCTGTAGCAAAGGACCATTGCAGAAGGTGAGGTAGAACAGTTCACACAGGGGAAAGGCAAAGCTGGATAGGAAATAAACTGTACACCATGTTCTGCTCTGTACTGAGATGTATTGTGCCTTCTTTGCTCATGTGGTTCTGGAATAGCATGAAAAGAATGGGAACCAAGACTGTGAAAAATGCTGCGTATTCACATTAAGAACAATTCAGATCAGATTGTAGCAATACAAGCCAACAGTACAATGTATGTTAGAGGTACACATAATGTAGACAGCTTCCTCACATTCCCCCCACCCGCCAATCATCACACTACAATCTGTCTTACGTTAACAGGAGTTTCAGATTGACGCTACTGTGAATGAAGTAAAAAGAGTTATCATCATTCTCACACAACTGCTACCAGCCAGTGTTAGGACTCTCTTTCCCCAATACAAAAAGTAATAATCAAACATACCACACACACACACACACACACACACACACACACACACACAGTATACAGATTTTAAAAAGAATTTATTATTTACCACCAGTATGTGTATTGTGAGAGTCCCATGGACTGCAAGAAGATCAAACCTATCTGCAAGAAGATCAGCCCTGAGTGCTCACTGGAAGGACAGATCCTGAAGCTGAGGCTCCAATACTGTGGTCACCTCATGAGAAGAGAAGACTCCCTGGAAAAGACCCTGATGCTGGGAAACATTGAGGGCACAAGGAGAAGGGGATGACAGAGGACGAGGTGGTTGGACAGTGTTCTCAAAGCTACCAACATGAATTTGACCAAACTGCAGGAGGCAGTGGAAGACAGGAGTGCCTGGCGTGCTCTGGTCCACGGAGTCACGAAGAGTCGGACATGACTAAACAACTAAACAACAACAACAATAACATAAACTGCAGCTTTGCCAGTTAACTTTTAGCCATTACCCTGGTGTAACTGATCTCCTTTAGAGCTGCCTAATGATTGTCAATTGGGCTTCCTATATTCTTGATTTCCTCCCCTATCTGTTGTGGGGTAGGACTGGAGTTCTGCTTTTTACACCACATGCGGGAGGAGGAGGGTGAGCAGGTAAACCAACAGAGGAATGGAAGAAGGTACACCTGCACCCATTTTTTCTCACCCGATATGTTTCTCTACGGAACTGTGAACTCCACCACCACAGGTCACTGGGCCAACCAAGTCTCTTGGCCTAACTCACCTCAGCCTGTTATTGTCTACATGGCTATTTCTCCCAGAGTGAACAAGAGGGTGTTAAAGAGGTCACTGAATCAACATCTCTTCAACTTTTGATCAAGTGACTCCAAGGTTGTCATTTTTAGGATGACCCAATCTGCAGAAAGGTCCTCAAATGCATGCAGTTGTGCCAATATAGCTTGCAGTACCAAAGTCAAATGGAAGAGCAGAGGGTTATGTGTGATGTCTCCAGAACCCAAGCCCAATGTGATCATACCTAGCTTCCCAGTTCTGGCAGTGTGGCTCTGTAGCAGCTACAGCCCACCTTGCTGCAATAGTTATGTTCGCAACACAAGCACAACAGTGCTGTTTGTGACCTTATTGTGTGTTTTGCATTTTTATTTTGTATTTTGATGCTGTGAACTGCTCCGAGATCTTCGGGTGAAGGGTGGTACACAAATTTAAAGAATAAATAATGAAATAATTTATGCTCCATCTATAGCATGTATTCAGTGACAAGGCAGTTCATAGGACTGGGTTGCTAATCTCAAACATAATCAAGAAAAAAAATCAAAAATATATATTCTACTTTGATGCCAGAAGCTTTCCGCAGCCGATAATGTCTGCCCAATACCTAAATCTGACAATAGTGCAAATGCTAAAAAATTAGCAGTCACAGAAAAAGTAGCTGCAGGGCTGTTCTTCACACAGTACCGCAGAGGCTCACAGTTAAATTATATTTTTAAGGTGATTGTGAGAGTCACAGCTTCGGAAATATCTTCACTAATTATAGCACAGAACAGAGTCTAAGCGAACTTGAATCCCCTCTTACCACTGAGAAGAACTTTACTTTCACCATCAGCTTGAAAGCACATGGTTCATTCGCACAACGCAATATGTCCTTAGTACAAACAATTTTGCACGCTATACTAAAACTTATAACCAGTTGGCAAGTCTTTCATATTACAGATTATACTGCACATATGGTTTACCAGAGAAAACAAGCTTGCACTGAGAAATGGACACCACATAGTGGAAAAACTTCTTAATGAAAGTGGGTGCAGTCAGGTGCTCAGACACTTTTCAAACCCAGACAGCATCCTCTTTTTTGAGTGTTGTCCTTTTCTATTCAAAGCCCTTTTTGTCACATGTTTCCATGTACCCCATTCATATATCCGTCTCGGGTGCTGGTCAGGACTTACAATGCCCAGTAACTGAGGATAACTCCCTTACCTTGGATAAAATGCCTCTTGGGGATTGCTTCTGTCCATTGCTGCTGTCCCACCTTGGCGCCTCTGGCACTGCCATGCAGCCTTCGTGGACAGTCTTTTTCTCTGCGCAGAATATAATGCACACCCTGGGGAAAACACTGCCAGCTCCACGTTGCCCCCTCTCTTCTATTAATACTCCAAGAAGCAGTGCAGAAAATGCAGTGCAAGATTTGTGCTTCTTGAGTAGCAATCTATCCAGACTTTCATAAAGGTTTCCCGCATCTGCTGGAAGGCGATTGGTTACTGCGACTCATCATTTCTGCTGCTTAGTCACCTCTGTCACTCCAACCTGTGCCAAGTTGGAACTATTACTTCACTTCACAGCACATGCCGTACCAGTTAGCAGTCGGTTCCTGTAAACTAGTTGCTCCATTTCAAATTGAATGCTTCCCTCTCTTTCTGGACAAAAGCAACAAGCTTAAAGTTGTACAAATGATATGGTGAAATGCCCAAGATATGGAGACTGCTGACAGCAGCAAGGGGATGATGAAACCTTGCAAACATCTGGAGAAAGTCCCAAACTAAATCGAGACATTTATCCAACAGGCGCTAGTGTAATTATCTTTCTGAACATTCTCTGGGCAACAAAAGAACTCAAAAGAGCATGTTATCACAGCGCAAAGTGACATTTTGTTAGAAAACTGCTTTTGTTTTGATTACGTGACGTCTTCAGATTACTGGATGCCTTTTGACACAAGAGAAAATTTCCCGAGAAGCCAAAAGCAATGGCTGGTTCAAGAAGAACATGCCCACTCTTCCTCCTTTTAGCCTGACCTTACAACCAGCTTTGGAGGGCGTATCAGTAGCTGTGCCACCGCCACCTCACAAAGCATGACATTATACTGGAACTTTAGCAACTACATACCAGTCAGAGGCACATTGGCACGAGTGCTTACAACTGAGTTGTTCAACATAAAAATATGAAAAAGGAGCAATGGGTTCATCTTCAGTCATCAACAGTTTAGTGTAAGGCACCTTCATGCATTCCTAATAAGGCAGCAGCAAATTGGTGGAGTTGCACCAAGGGATATGGGTTGCCCATTATAAATATTTGGGCTACCACACATGAAAAAGATAAAAGGCATGGAGGAGCACTTCTCTGATGGTTATGCTTTGTCTTCTTATAATGGATCTTCAAAGAACAAAGGAAAACAATTAAAATCTGTGAAAACTACAATAGGCTTTTAACGGTAGGAAAAACTTTTAAAGACTAAAAACAGCTAACAGATGTTTGGCATTGGTCTACCTTGGTACAGATAAACTATCACAGCACAATTCCATGTTTTTTCAGTATTGTCTTCTTTGAATTTCGCCATTGTGAGAAGAACACAATGAAACAGTGTTTTTCAGTAAAGCACAAACCATTTCCTTCATGTTTCCATCCATTATGCAGTTGCAGAAAATAAAATACCGTATTTATCCGTGTATAAGACTAGGTTTTTCCCCTTTAAAATAATGTCAAAAATTAGGGGGTGTCTTATACACGGATACATCTCCCCGCATTTTCTTAAATCTGAGTCCCCAAAAATAGGGGGCGTCTTATACATGGGGGAGTCTTATAGAAGGAAAAATACGGTAATTTATAAGCTTGGATCCACAGTAGCTCAACAATCCTAAATAAATATGTGCACCCCTTAATTTTACAACTTACTTCCATGTAAGTTCACCTGGGGGTGCATCCTTAGAATAAATACAACTACCCAGTTGCAAAATTTATATTCAAGACTTTGGTACATTCCACAAGGCATCCATGAGTCAGATGTTTGTGAGTGATCATGAAATCAGTCCCCCGACCCCAAGCGGGGTGATATGAATCCTGGGTTTGCATTGTTCTATGGAACAAAATGACTGTCTAAATGAGCACATGGAAAGGCAATTGGGGTCATGCTCCTACAAATACAAGGAATCTGTGTGAACAGAAACTATGTGCCTATACCACCATGGATGAGTGAACACACAGAAACTCTGTGCATGAAGGAATCTTGAACACAGGCAAGTCAAAGGAAAGGCTAGCAGGCATGGCCCAGGTCCACACTCCATGCATTCAGTTAAGAAGATAAGAAGAGCCCTGCTGGATTAGCCATATCAGGGGCCAGACTCCTATTTCCCACTGTAACCAACCAGATGCTTATGGGAAGCCCAGAAGCAGGCCCAGGGTGGGGTGGGGGACAACAGCCCCCTCTCCCTGTTGCACTCCTTCTGCTTCTGATCATGGCAGGAACATATAACAATCATTACTTGACCAATTATCATTTTATCCTCCATTACTCTGTTAACTACCTTTTAAAGCCATCTAAGATGAAGAACATCACCACATCTTGTCGTAGTGTCATAGTTCAATTATGCGCTTTTTAAAGAAGCACTTCCCTCTGTCTGTCCTGAATATCCCACCATTCAGTTGCTACACTTATATACGAGTGAACGGGAGCATAATTTTTTCAATCCAACAAAGCCTGACCTGATGCATTTCCACAAAGGTCAAATGAAAACTGGGCGCATAAATGCCATTTTCACATAATGGATAATGCACATATGCTTCCTGACAAAAATAGAGGTTGCATCTTAATATACTGTCCATAGGCATTCAATGCATGCAAGACTGTGTGTCATTTGTGCACACGCAGATTTCTAATTCTCCTGCTACTATCTGTACAGATCCTTATGTTGTTCTCTATTCAAAGAGAAACTACTCAGCAAAAGCATGTGTAGCCGCAGAAAAACAACATCCACTTTTGGTTTTCTAATGCCCTTCCCCTCCTCTTCATGCCGCTTACAGTTAACCGTGTGGGTAGGAGGCTTTCTTGCCTGCAATTTGGGTCAGTTCAAAGGGCTTCGAGACTAATGCAAATCTGAAAAGGAAACCCGTAACGTATGCCATTGCTAGGGGGATTGCATAAAAATGGCTTTATCTGTGTTGACGTGTTTGGCTTGGCTTGCTGCCACCAGAAAAAGGAAACACACGGTGCATCCCTGGCTTTTCTTTCGTAAGAGGAAATCACCTCCCATGTATGCAAAGCGGTGGAAATGCTCCCTCGCAGGCATTATATGGTAGCACAACACTTGCTTCCCTTAGGGGCCAAACTAGACACCACATGGGTGATGTAAGGCCAGGATCTGTAATTTCAAGTAATTCGTGGCACCACACAGCTGTTTTGATGATCATGGATATGGCAAATTAACCTTTTCTAACTCTCCTTTTCCTTTCTACCTCTGGATTTTGAGAGATGGCTGTAATTACACCTGCTGGAATACCGAGATCATGTTCATGTGCAGAGGATAAGCCAGTACAGCATTGCTTTCATGCCTTCAGATTTCTGGCTGGGATGAACAGTTTTCTTCCATATTAAACAGGATAAAGATCCTGCACCTTCCGTAGTAAACATCCGACTCAGTTTCATTTCTACAGCTATCATGACACATTTTACAAAACCCGACAAGTCTGGGCTACGTGTTAAGGACGTTAGGATGGAAGACGGCCCCAAAACTCCACAGTGATGAATGGCGGTGGTACATTCCATGAAAACGGAAACCAGAAATGCGGATGCCAAGAAGGAACAGCACAATGGCAGCTGAACCACCCCTAATTGAGAAACGGAAATCCTGGGCCTGCTCCAATGGAAAATTTATAACAGAAAAGCAAACTATCTTCCTCCAGATAAACACACACTTATCATGCCTTCTAAAGCCTCTAAGGCAGGTCTAACCCATCTATTGCTTCTGTCCTGATGCTCTCCTATCTGCCAGCTGCGATGCTGGATGGTTCTGATATAAAATTAAGGCCTCTTGAACACTTGGTTTACTATCCCCCTCACACATTTGCTTTTGTTACATAGGATAAGAATCCACATTCTACTGTGAATTTATCACAACAATTAAGGAGCTTGGCTTCCATCAGAGCTCCTGTGATGCACTAGCTATTGCATGGGTCATAGACTGGGGAGACCCCAGTTCAAATCCTTGCTCAGCCACAGGGCTTCTGGGTGATCGTAGGCCACTCACTAGCTCTCAACCTAACCTATTTCACAGAGTTACTGTGAGGAGAGAGTAGGAGATTCATGTATGACACTCGAGGAAGTGGCAGGACAAATGCAAAAAAAAAAGTATGGAAAGTTCACATTTGATTACAGGATCCACAGCTTAGTGCAGTGCTTTGCATGCAGGAACTCTGAGGTTCAATCCCCGACTTCTCCAGGTGTTTGTCTGTTTGTTTGAAAACAGAGTAGCAGATACAGTGGTGCCCCGCAAGACGAATGCCTCGCAAGACGAAAAACTCGCTAGACGAAAGGGTTTTCCGTTTTTTGAGCTGCTTCGCAAGACGATTTTCCCTATGGGCTTGCTTCGCAAGACGGAAACGTCTTGCAAGTTTGTTTCCTTTTTCTTAACACCGTTAATACAGTTGCGACTTGACTTCGAGGAGCAACTCATAGAACGCGGTGTGGTAGCCTTTTTTGAGGTTTTTAAAGACTTTGGTGATTTTTGAAGCTTTTCCAAAACTTTCCTGACACCGTGCTTCGCAAGACGAAAAAAATCGCAAGACGACAAAACTCGCGGAACGAATTAATTTCGTCTTGCGAGGCACCACTGTAACGTGAAACATCTCTACCTGAGACCCTGCAGCATTTTTCAAGAACCAGTGGTTCTCCAGATGTTGGAACTACAACTCTCATCATCGCTGAACATTGGCCTTGCTGGCTGGAGCTGGAGTCCAGCAACATTTGGAGGGCCAAAGGCTCCCAGTTCCCACCCTAGAGAGCTGCTATGAGTCAGAGTAGCCAGTGCTAGGCTAGGTGGACAGTTACTTGGGCATGGTATAAGGCAGCTCTCAACGTTCCTTTGCATTTAAGAGATAACAACATTTGACCTTCAATAGGAACAAGCTGTTCAGGAGGAATAATGCAGCAAAGCTTTTGAAACGGGTTATCTTGGCATGAAAAAGCTATATACATAATTGAAATTACAAATTGTTGCCATTGACCCGTGCTTTTACTCACATGACCTTTGACTACAACTTTCATCCTCTCTGAACTTTAAAAGTAATCCTATGCAGCCATTCCCCCCAGCCAAGCTCTTTCTTTCTTTGTTTTTAACATCAAGTTAGTCATATACATGAAACCAATCTACTGTTTTTTAAAAGCCCCATCGTTTCTTACTGCTGCCACTCCGTTCAGCTTTGTTAGAATGTCAGGCTGATGATTAGTCAAAATCAGCAGGCAAAAACAACTAACACTCAGTAGTAGCAATGGCCCATGTGAGTGTGACCAGTCCCTGGTCAACATTTCCTGTTGAGCTGCTCCTGAGACAGAAACTGCAATTAAAACAGTTGACTGGAGATTTCAAGTTTGAGTCATTCTGACAGTTTGGGATTATTATTCTTTTTAATTTTAAAAAAAGGAAGAAAAGTAATCACAACCTCAATTCCTTCCATGCTAATGAGTCAAGTGTGCAGCCGTCAAGAATGTGAGGTGTAAAGGAAGGAAAGTCCCAAGGAAAGTTCAAATGTTACCTCAGCACAAACTCACTAGAAGTGCTTCCAGATCATGGCTAATCTCTTCTGCCTGTAAACTGCAAGAAGAAATGAAATTAACTTCTTGCACTAGTGAGGGCATTATATTTTCAGCGTTCCGTCTACTCTAGTGGGGTTGACATAGCTGTATAGACAGAGAAGGTATAAGTAACCTGAGGAGCCATTCTTTAAATAATTTATTTTAACTCTTCTCTTTGGTGCTCTAATGGTTAGGATTTGCTGTGCTCACTGCCCAGTAAGGGAATCTTTTTTTGGGGGGGGCTCTACCTCCTTGTGTGCCTTGCAAGCAGAAGGTTGCAAGTTCAATCCCAGGCATCTCCAGGTCAGGTTGGGAGAGGCTCCTACATGAAATCCTGGAAAAAATGCTGCCAGTCCGTGTAGACAATACTGAGGTAGATGGACCAATGGTTTGACTTGGTATAAGGCAGCTTCCCATGTTCCTATTGGGGTTTTTTTTCCTTTTCATTTTTGCTATAGTGCTTACTTGTTGCAGCCACAGTTGTCCAATAACTGACATGATGAGTTATTATTATTATTATTATTATTATTATTATGCAAAACAAAGTGTTGGTTTGGACCCGAATAAATCATACTGAGGGTAGACTCACTGAAATCAATCAACAAGTTTTTAGATTGGGAAAAAATAGCTATTTTTTAAATAGGAGGGAAACCCCCCCCCCATTTTCTAATCATTTATTTAATTAGCAGGATAACACTCTTCAGTTTAAGCACTATTATTTTAATATTTTTAAAGAAGACATTGCCGGAGTGCGAATAATTAGTGCTAATTTTTTACAAAATAAAGAGGCTGATAGAATGGTGTCCACCCAAAAAGTGGCCAGTTTCACACATGAAAACCACATCTCCTGAAAAGACACAAAAATAGCACTAAGGATCATGCGTATTAGTTGAGAGTGCACTGGCGTTCCATTTCCCCTCTTCAAACAAGGCAGGTTTTCTGTGGTTTAACTAAGGTGGGGCAGTTTCACACTATACATCTAATGTGGTGTCAGCCTAGGGGAAAAGATCCTGGTGTACACACCACCATCCTGCCCTCAAAGATGCATTGTTCCCATCCACCAATCTGGACAGACCTCTGTATCATCTCTACATTCCTCCTGCACAAGTATTCATGGTGGACCCTCCCCGTTTGGCAGAGGTTTTGGGCAGGGCGCAATAATAACCAGATAAACTCAATGCACACTTACTTGGAAGTTAGCCCCATTGTACACAGCAGATTACTCCCAAGTAAATATGCATAGGATAGTGTGATCGGTGCCTCAGCCAGATGCACACAGTAAGTAAGCCAATGTATTACAGTAAAATTTGCTTGGAACATCTTTATTAGTGAGGAGGAATTTGCAAACACTGTAAGACAGAAGAACTCTATCCTTGATCCTCCCTCAAATGGAGTCACTAAATGTAGTCAATGCACAGAAGAAATTATTTAATGCTATTGACTTCCCAGTGTGAAAGCTCTTAAAAGTAGAGGAAATGAAGAGTGAGAGAATGAGGTAAGTTGGAAAAAAAGAATTAACTTGAGAATAATATATTGCACATAGCTGAACCAGCACATTATATGGAATTGGCAAGATCATAGCTCCTACATCTGAAACGAATCATTTTCCACTTATATAATAAGTGAGGCACTGAAGAGTGAAAAGCTTCATGATCTATGCCCACAGTAATGCTAGACTGAAAGTGTTTGCAAATGCATTTTCTCCATTTAATGGTTGGCATTTAATTAAAATTCCTTATAAAAGAACCATGGTACCGCTTTACCGTACCATGAACTTTAAATGAAAAGCAGGCTGTTCCCAGAGAAAATCAACAGAGATTTTAATAGTGTATATATTAGTAGTGTTACATTTACTGAAGCCGGACTGTAAATACAAGATGAATGGAACAGAAGGGGTCAGTGCTAGGAGTGAGGCCAGGGAAAGCAGACTGGGGGAAATTACTTGGTACAGCTTGATGGTCATTAATGACCGGTGCAGTCTGACAATGCGGGGTTCAAATATGGGGTTCTCAGATCCATGTAGAAGCAGAATCATAGCTCCCATGATTCTCAGTGTCCCCAAATGTGCACATATCATCATTCAGAAATGTTGGGAACCACGAGAACTACATTTCCCACAGTTCCAAGCATGCTTAGGTTCCATTGCAAATGCTTAAGGAAAGGTCCATGGCCAATAAGAGATCTCAATGAGGAGCTTCTCTTTCAGGGGTGTTTTCATTAACAGAAGGCAACTGATGTTATGCCCTGAACACTCTTAACATATATTCTGAAAAGCTGTGAGGGTGTGCAGGCAAATCCTGATATATAAACTGATTTGGCAACCCTCACCTGGGAGGGTGGCTCAATGCACACATGCCATCCCAGCTCAGGAGCTTCCTCAACAGCTGTTTTTCAGCCACTTGAAAACACTTCTTCTGCAGACCCTGTGCAACCGTCCAGAAAAAGAACCTTGGTACTCTCTGGAAGCCCAAGCTGCCATGCAATAAATACCACTGGACCTAAGGGATAGTTTTACAAAATTGCAAGTGACTTAACCTTTTATAAATCTAAATCACACAATGAGGTCAAGGTGGGTCAAGGCAGGTGCCATATGCAAACACCCACCAGATTGGTCTTCCCTTCTCAGATATTTTCATATGGAAATCAGGGAAATATTATGAAAATATTTGTGTATGTCAACTTTCTAAAAATAAGATCCAATGAATGCATAGTAGATGATGCCCAGCAAAGAGATTTACTAGAACATTAGTTTTACAAAGCTTTTTAAAAATTTATAATCTTGCTTCACTTTTTGTCAACTGATGTTTCTTCTATCCTTGTTCCATGGAGAACAGTATTTCAGTTTTTCATCCTATATTCTATCTTTCCTACCCCTTATTTGGACGTCATTCCTTGAATTTGTCTTTCTTCCTTTGTCTTTTCAGTGTGTTCTCTCTCTCTCTCTCTCTCTCTCTCTCTCTCTCTCTCTCTCTCTCTCTCTGGCACAATCTCAAGCTCACTTTTTCTTCAACCATAATCCACCTGGACTACCCCACCAGTGCAAGAACTGCTTTTGTTTACAGCAGCTGTTCATTTGCCAAAGAGGTTTAATCAGAAGTTCTAAACTTTTGACTTTCTACTTAAAGTGACTTTGCAGATGAACACAATACAAATCATTGTAATAAATGCTAAATTCCTGGACAGTCCTCATCTCCCTCTCTGTTTTCTTCTCATTCTTTGCTATCCAAAGCTTTTACTAGCACACTGACTTAAATGTACACCCACACATTCAAAGGGGCCAACCAATCATGCACACTTGCTCCAAACCAAACGCACCCACACACTTCCCTTCCTTCAGCTATAATCTTGTGCACCTACCCACATGCCACACGCTCCATCTTCCTCTCTTGCCCCCCCCCGCCCCCCACCCGGCATGCACATGTACCATGTGATGAATGGAAATTTAAAGGCTGGTAGTTTGCTAACATGGTGTTCTTTCAGACTATTCCCAACCACAGGAAGTGCTAATGCGGAATCAGAAAATGCCGCAAATCCCTCTTCGATCAAACACCGATAATGTGTTGGCACTCCTTCATTTCACAATACCACTCATTCCTTAAGGTAGCTTTAAAAAAAAACAAAACCTGAGGGTTTTGTCGCACAAGACTTCAGAACACAATCCTGTTTTTAAACCATTATAAATGTAGACAGAGACATCCCAGTTGAAGCACGGGACTGGGTGTGATGCTTTCTCCCACTGCAACTCAGCAAGGGAGCTTGTAAGGACAAATGACTAAGCAGGAAAAAGAAGTGATTGTAAGAAAAATGCCGTTGCTCAATTGAAGCACAAGCACGGCGGGCTGCTTCTGTTCAGACCAGACTGTATTTGGCAGAGACATGGAAATGGTCAAGTCATATCAGGCCAGCTATACTCACATCAAGCCATCCTATACTTGTTCGGAGGGACTGCAAAGTACACCTTTCAGACTCCCCTCCTGCAAATAAACTTTCTGAACTCAATAAGACTCTTGATCCACAAGGGAACTTTGTGACTGTATTCCATAGCATCCCAGCTCTCAAAATGGGAGGAAAGCATACCCGAGGAACTGACAGGGCTGCAAGAAAGGGCTGCAGGTTTTTTCCCCCTGTAAGGAATGCCTTGGCCTCTATAACCTCCACAGTTATTATCAGAGGAAGCCCTGCTAGGAGCTTCTTGTCTTTTGAGCTATGTTGTGCAGCCCCCAAAAGCAGATTCTTCCCCGCCCCTTTCTTCTCTTAGCACCTTTCTTATTTATTTTATTCATTTATGAATCACCTTTCATACGAGTCTCAAGGCAATTTACGAACATACAATAGCAGCACCTGTACAAAACAGCAAAACAACTAAAGGTAGGTTTTTTAACGGTGCAAAATAAACATCTCCTATAGAGAGACCTTTTCATCCCGCTGAAAAAGCTCACCGGACTGAAAATGTCTTCAATTGTTTCTGCAAAGTACAAATATTAGGTGCCTGTCAACAGCAGGGATGCTGTGCCACAGAACAGGGGCAGTCACACTGAAAGCCCTGCTCTGCGTTGGCGTGGAGTGTGCTTCTGATTCTTTTAGTTAACTTCAAAGAAAAACTCTGGCACACAACACAGTGAGCTACTGGGTATGTAAGGTCCTGAGCTTGTGGAAGTAACTGTCATGGCCAACGCTTCAGAGCCTTGGAAAAGCAGCTTTATTCACTGCGGCTTGTTAAAAGTCTGGAGGCTGGTGGTGATTATTATCTGAATTTTCACCTGGCTGCTTTCTATTTGTATTGTGTGCTGTTTTGACAATAAGGTGTGGTCCTTTCCTCTGGAGCAAAGTAACCTCTCTGGAATGGAACTAAAAACAAGCCTGTAAATCGTGGAGAGAGGTAAGTGCCTCAAACCATTTTCCTGTATGCTTAAGGAGGATCCCAGCAGCAGAAATTTTGTTCCTTTCTCATTGCAAAGAGAGAGAGCATCCCACCGTTCTGCCACCCCGGGATTATGGTTCTCTGCTTCTGGGATACAATAGCTAGCCAAGTTCCAAGTGCTTTCCTTTATTCAGAACTCTTCACCAGAACTCTTAGTCCCAGAAAGAATTAGGATGCTCAAGTCCCAGGCTCAGCCTCTTCAATATTTTAAGTTACACTCTGCCCTCAATTTGACATGCAGAAGAGTTGCTGCTCACCCATCCTCACCTCTCCCCGCTCCAATCACCCCACTGGGATACCTTGTCTCCCATTAACAATAAGTCTTTTCTCCATCCTGTAGCTCTACTGTTTCTGAGCACCAGAAGTGTAAAAGCAGGGGCTGTCTTCTGGAGTTGCACTACAAAAGGTGCTCTACACTAGACAGCATAAGACAACCCTCTCCTCCCCAAAAAATTCAGTCTTTGGGCCCTATACTTGAAAGTGCAGTAATTCTGAAATATCATACTACGGCTATGTTGTTTTGAAATGCCCTGAAACCACTTTTTTCCACTAAGTGTCATGCTAGATGGTTTCTTAAACTACTTCCTGTTCCAGAAACAAGAGGAGCAATTACAAATGAATTCAAAGCTTTTTTTAGAAAGACAGAAATATCTTAGAGAGACTGTTTTTATTTATGTCCTTAAAATTATGCCTGCACATGAATTTGGGAGGCATACCAGAACATACCCACAACCTGAACTGCAGCGAGGCAAACGGATTGCCAGATCCAGACTCCCAAAACACTAGAGTACTCAATACGTGCATTGTTGTGGTTCATCTCCACTGTGCAAACATGTAGATCCCATCATTACACATGTTTGCACAGCCTGCCCTTTCTCTCCATGCAGTTGTCTGTCATGAGCATGTGTAGCATGTTTAGGACAGACAACTGCATGAGTGCAAGGGCAAGAGGCCAAAGAGGTTTCCCCTGTAGCTCCAAAGACTATTGGAAGGCAATTCACAAGGAGCAAAAGGATGGCTGGTGGCCTTTCCCCTTTGGTTTGAGACCACAGCAGGAAGTCTAGTGGTGGGGACCCTGGCCTCAATCCAGACACTTTCCACATTAAAATATGTGACTACTACTAGCATGGAAATCTAGCGTGGAAAATCTAGCATGGAAAATATTATTGATATTATCGCGTAATATTATTTATCCAGTTAATTATAGAAAGCAAATGTTCTAAATGTGCTAATTAGATTTGTTGTAAAGGTAAAGGACCCCTGACAGTTAAGTCCAGTCACGGACGACTCTGGGGTTGCAGTGCTCATCTCGCTTTACTGGCCGAGGGAGCCGGCGTTTGTCCGCAGACAGCTTCCAGGTCATGTGGCCAGCAAGACTAAGCCGCTTCTGGCAAACCAGAGCAGCACACAGAAACAGCCGTTTACCTTTCCGCTGGAGCGGTACCTATTTATCTACTTTTTTTGGTGTGCTTTCGAACTACAATTTGTTGTAGGCAGTGCTATATGTGTGCACATCTCTCTCTGGCTCTTAGGAAAACACTATCTATTCCGGATCAGCATCATCAGTCGTTATAATTCAGAATCATATCTGAGCTATTTAATCAAGTGTTTTGCATTTTATGAAGCTGCTAGCACAGCGTTTTGCATTTCAGTAAAAGTGTATCCAATGGGTGGCAACCTTAAATTCCATTCTACACATGCCAACTTGGGAGTAACGTCATTGGGCAAAACAGGATTTATTTCTGGGAAAACATATTCAGGATCACATTGGAAGGAGTATTATAGGATCCTACTGCCTGCACTGAATGCTACCAGGCTGCAGAGTGACACAGTAGGCTGTAACGGAGACACCTGCACAGGGCTTCCACTCTTTGTCGTAGGCTGGTTGAAAAGAAGACCTATATACCTTGCTCTATGCCCAATATCTTCAAAACTAATGAACTCTAGGACCTCTTAATGTCCTGGTGTGACCAGTGTTTTGTTTTGTTGGGCAACTGCAGACAACGTGTGCTGAACTCAGCACAGACCAAGCAATTTCCAAAGGTCAATTGGTGCTGAGTTCATTAGGTTCACATGGCAAGTTTAGCCTGTGGCAGTGCTACTGAAAGCAGAAGTGAAGGATGCAGAAGAGCCGTTACCTTGGGATGAAAGAGTCAGATGACTAGAAGGGCTGTAGCTTCGTAGGCAGAGTACATGGTTTTTATGCAGGAGGTCTCGGATAGGCCTAGGGAAGACCCCTGCCTGAAATCCATAGAATGGCACAGTTGGAAGGGACCACAAGGGCCATCTAGTCCTACCACCTGCAATGCAGGAATCTTTTGCCCAATGTGGGGCTCAAACCCATGACCCAGAGATTAAGAGACTCATGCTCTACCAACTATTCATAATCCTACCCTATAGTGGTTTTCCAGAGCTTTCCATGTCTAATATTGCCTTTAAAAATTAATTGCCACTTGGTCTTCATAGGTCATCATGCTAGCTGTTTAGTCTCAAGATCAGGACTTCTGCAAATATCTTACCATCTACCCCCAGAAAGAGGCACTGGGTAGTAGCCCCAAGGACAGTGTTTTCCTGTTTTATAACCTTAATCAGAGGTAATATAAACAGAGCTGGTCTCCCACTCACTCTTTATTTTAAAATACAGTGGTATCTTGGGTTAAGAACTTAATTCGTTCTGGAGGTCCATTCTTAACCTGAAACTGTTCTTAACCTGAGACACCACTTTAGCTAATGGGGCCTCCCGCTGCCGCCGTCGCACAATTTCTGTTCTCATCCTGAAGCAAAGTTCTTAACCTGAGGTACTATTTCTGGGTTAGCAGAGTCTGTAACCTGAAGTGTCTGTAACCCGAGGTACCACTGTAGTAATTTTGGAATTTTTTTCCCTCACAGCAGGATTCTTTTGGTGAAGGGAAACAAACACATAAAGCATAGCCAGTCTGTCCCGGCCCTCCTATATTTTCCTTAGTTATGAACCTCTCACCATGTTTCATTGAGAAAATGCTCTGTAAATCCCCCCCCCCCATATAGTTATCACCAGAGCCTAGATGATATGGCCAACCCTCCCCTTCAAGTGAGCAAACAGGAAGGCAAAGTTTGTTTTGTTCATCGTTGGGCTCTACTTTTTTTGTCACCTGTTTCCTCCCTGGGCCCTGAAAGAGCAAAGCAAAATCTGCTTAATATGTGTATGTCCTGTCTCTCCTTCTCAATCAACAAAATTCATAATTTCCATAAAAGGCCACTTAGCATATACTTTTAATTATATTTTAATTCCATTCCATACTGTTCCAAAGCATAAGGAGGACAAATAGGTGTCAAGAAACATTTTCAGGCCAATTCTAATTAGTTCAAGGATAAGCCCGTTGAGTCTGATTCTCAAGTTTAGTTAGATGCATCTCAGGGGAACACTTTTTGGACAAGCTACATTCTGTAACATTTTCCACAAGTCTTTCCATAGGAGTCAATCCAAAAAGCCACCCATGGATACAAATCTGTATGTTGGAACAGGTCCTCAGCGAAGCTGAACAGAACAGCAAATACTTTCAATTTCCTCTCCCTCTCTTCCTCCCTCTCTGTAACTGGAAAGTATGTTGTTTGCTCAAGTTATGACAAAGCACTAGCTCACTGCCTGGTATTGAATGTCCATCTAGCAAATCAGTTGAATAGCCCTACTGTTAGTGTCTGAAGGAATGAATGGCTTACCTCCTGGCCACATGCAAAATTCAGACCTTCCTGCAGATTTCTAAAACTGATGTCTGGCTGCTGTGAGTTAGGGCAATTATTTTCTCTAAATGTACATGTGTAGTTCCACTTCTTAAGGAGCTGTTCAAGTCATCCAACACCCCGCATCCACAACTATTTATTACTTCATGCCACAACGTGATTCATTTTCTACGGTAGTCTAGCTTTGTTGTCCTCAGTTTAAGCTGTAGCCCTCCAGTAATAATAATTTAATAATAATTTATTGCTGATACCACACCCATCTGGCTGGGTTTCCCCAGCCACTCTGGGCAGCTTCCAACAGAATATTAAAAACACAATAAAACATCAAACATTAAAAACTTCCCTAAACAGGGCTGCCTTCAGATGTCTTCTAAATAATAACAGGATGGCATTAGATCAGAGGTATGCGCTGAGCAGCCTTTTATGTTGCATCTTAAAGGTTGACAACCTTATTGGTCCTGTGGGCACCTTTGCAAACTGGAAAAACTGCTCGGGACACAACACACACACACTTTTCTTTCAAGACCAATTTCAGCAAGGAGGGAAGAGAGAACAGGTACCAAAAAAACCCTGCCAGTAGGCCAGAAATTTACTGCCTTTTCCAGTGGCCTTTCTGTTATGTACTGAAGTTCTCACCCTGGGCCAGCAGGGGGATACTGTAGATAGTTTTCACTCAGGTCCACATATGCAAATAAGGGATTGAAAGTGACGTTCAGTGATTGGATAGTTACAGAAAATGGTTACTGTTGCGTTCTAGTGGAGCTCTATATAAGCAGGCTGGCTGAACCCTTCAGTTCAGTTCTGTTCTGTTCTGGCCTGTGAATAAACAAGAGCTGTTTGAAGAATCGCTGTGTCGTCTGATATGTTGACCCACAACTTAACACTTTCTTATGCCTATCTATCTATCTATCTATCTACCTACATACAGAGAGAGACAGATGCTAAAAGGACCTTATGTGTGCACATATACCATCTCAAACAGCAGGAGCTTTTAGATTATAAAAATAAGCTCAGGGCTATAACAGGTACATGGTAAATCCATTCTGACCCGAAAGTACTGAACCTGAACTGCCAACCTACCGCTTTCTGCCTCCAATAGAATCATAGAATTACAGAATCGTAGAGTTGGAAAGGATTCTGAGGGTCATCTAGTCCAGCCCGCTGCAATGCTGGAATCTCAATTGAAGCATCTATTGCAGATGGGCATCCAACCTCTGCTTCAAAACCTCCAATGAAGGAGAGTCCACAACCTCCCGAGGGAGTCCGTTCCACTGCTTCTGTCCAGCAATTTGTAAGAAAAGGGGACCATTTCTGTTTGAAAAATCAACGTATATACAATATGCCAATCATCTGGTGAAGTACAACTTGTCTCTGTGCCTATGACTATTTCTCCAATTACACAACAGGATCATATATATGCAAAGGGGAAGCTGTACTATGCATGGTTCCAGCATACTGCACAGAAAGGCTGCTATGTCAAATATTTAGAGCAAGCACTGACAGGTCTGTTGTTGTTTTTAACCACGAACATCCTTTTCAGATGTTGACAAAAGGATTCACTTTGGTTCCTATACTGGGGTGTTGACATGAAAGCTTAAGAAGAATGCCAAACTTTTCCCCTTTTGCACTGGCACACACGATAAGATTTCAGCATGCACACAGGCAAACGTGTGACATGCTTACAAAATCTGACGTGTAATGGTGTGGCATCAGATCACCAAATCTAATACTAGCTGCAACATTCTGGGCAAAGCGTGAAAGCATTGGAGTTGTTTAAACTACTGTACTTTTTCATTTGGCTTTTTAAAAAGTTGTTTCATTTTAGAATCTTTTAAACTTGCTTTGAAATCATTATGCGCAGTTGATGTTGAGTGCACAGGCCTTTGGAATGGCAAAAAAGGACCACCTGGGCTGAAATAAATCAAAAGAAGCCCAAACCCATGGATATTCACTCCAGAGTAAGTCCCACAGTCTAAACGGGGGCTTTCTCATAGACACCTGTATATACAGTTACAGACTGAGACAACATTTCATATGGTTCTGCATACATTTCTGTAAAAAAAAAAAAAATGCTTTCAGAAGCAGCTTGGGCTGCAATTATAACACCACTTAGCTGGGAATAAAACTCATAGAATCCAACAGGACTAACAGGTTATTTAATATGGTTTTATTATTGCCCACTGCAAGCCAGGGTTTTGTGAGTTTTCCTCATGTATTTTCCAGACCTTCTTTTGACATTTTAAAAATGGGAGCACAAACCTACACAGCGTAACAAGGCAAAGGGCTCCTGTATCTTTAAGTTAAAGCTTCCTTCTTGCAATTTCTGTCCTTTTATTGCTTCCTGTTAAGGTCAGGAGTAGGATTACTGTGGAATAGCCTGCTAATTGCCCCTTGAACAGTTCCTCTTACAAAGCAACCCTAAGTATGTCCTCTCAGAGGTAAGTCCTACTAAATTAAATTTGGCTCACTCCCAAGAAAGTAGCTTTAAAATTACAGTATTGATGTTAGCTTTACTAATTAATTACTAAAATTAGTTTTACTAATTTTCTCTCATATAGATATATATAGATATTCTGCTTCCAACTGAGGAAAAGCAATGCTTCAGCAGTAAAAGGTGCTGGTGTTGGAGCAACACGAGACTCCTCTTCATTTATATATCTTACTTATTATTTGCAGACTTCTCTTGTAATCCCTTCTAAAGTCATGGTTATTGTTTCTTGTTCCATTTCCATGCCAAATTGCTGTTTGATTTTCCATGTGAAATTATTAAAGGATCAGATTGTTTATCTTATCATTTATCTCTCCCTGTTTGGTTTCCTACTGGTAGGCTCTGATGGGACGGGAAGGAGAATCGTTATTCAAGCTCCTTTCTGTATTATCATTAAAGTCTGTTTAAAATTATTACTTGCAATCTGTAAACGCTGCTGACTCTTTGAATCTGAGATTTATTACAGAAAGCATAAAATGCTACAACATGTCATTGGATTAAGCAGCCCTGATTCAGCTCCAGATGTGGAAGAAATACATAACAAGAAATCCTACGGAATTAGGCATTTTCAGACTGAGGTCATCAATTGCCATAGAGAAGATAAAAACAAATGTAGTTGAGCCTGGAAAGAATGCTGCTAAAATTGGAAAAACATTTAATATGAGTAGCCTACGGGTACAATAACACCACACTGTAACTTAAGAAAATCCCGCAGCACAAAGCATACCAAAAGGATTGCAGACTTAGCTTTTTAGTTTCTGGATCTCCAGGAAAGCATAGCTTCCCTTCTTTCTTTCCTCCTCTGAGATTTGCCTTCCCAGTTCCATAGGGTCAAGCACTTCTGCCAATGTGCCCTATAGAAACTATTGTATAAATTGTGCTATTACGGCTTCATGGAAGAAGAAAGCAGCATAATAAGTTTATTCATTGCCCCCCTTACAAAAAAAAAGGCTTCTGGCAATGATAAACTATAGAAAGTACAACTGAAACTTAACCAGCTGTTACTATTAGTAAGTGGTAGTTATATATTTGCATAGGTGGTAGGAGCGTGTCTGAATCACAATGACAGATCATGGATTTCCATTTGCAACTTGTCAAACAAGCTGCACTCGCTAGAACAGGAAGACATTTTCTTATGATGTACATAACCATTTTGGAGCAATACAACCATGCAGTAAAATTGCTTCTTACGCTATCTCAGTGGTGTTCCGTTTCCAGAAAACAAGACACCCAATTCACAGGGCAATTTCTTAATATGGCAAAAGTCACCAGCTGTGAATGGGGGGACAAGGAGAACTGAAGGAAAAAGAAACTGCCCGACAGTATCACAGAGCGCTTGCAAGAGGGTAAACAGAGAACTACAGAAGGAATGTGTCCCTTTCCTCAAGGCTGCTGGCACTTATCAGACTGACTGGAAGACCGTGTCAGCAGAGTAATGTGTTGCTATAGGAGGAGTCTTCCCTTGTGATTGTGGGGATGGCTGCTACATTGGCCGTGTTCAAGCAATAGTTATATTGGGGCACACAAGATTTTCAAGACGTTTTTGGCAACCAAAACCAAACATTTTGTTTAGTGTGGTGGCATGGCAATTGTGCATAGCTTTGCAAAGAACAGGTTTGGTGGTTCTGGACAGGGGTCTTTTTAACTTCTCAAATGTTAAATGGAAAAGGTAAATCCAAGCCAAATGGGGATGGCGGCATATTGATGGGCACTGCAAAGAAACCCAACAACAAACCCTGCCTGAGGGAACTGCACTGATTCCATAATGAGCAGTTATGAACTCATTTGCACACATCCTTTGTCTAGGCAAGGAGTTACTGAGCAGAGAACAGGGTCTCTTTCTTTACCCCATTAGCTTTTATAGGAACCAGCTGCCACTGAAATTAACCCATTTAAAATGTAAGCATCTGACTCCAAGCACAACACTTAGTAAATATCACAACATGACCAAACTTTACTTTAGTTCCTATTTTGCAAAGGTTGATCAGAGGGCTATTTGTTGTTGCCTTTCCAACTAACCAACAGTGTTTTATTCTCCTTGTTATCATCAGAAGCATTATAGGCCATAATAAATGGGAAAGCAGCTTATCTGCAGGCATGATGGAGGTAGCCTCTTCTTTTTAAAGTTAGAGGACTTGTGCACATTCTGAGTAGTGGAGCATGCACTTCCTATTAAATTCTCTGCATCTCCAGGTAGAATCAGGGAAAGACGCCTGTATGAAACGCTGGAGGGAGAGGCACAACACTGAGAAGGGAGACCAATCTCATGATCGGTATAAGGTTGATTCCTGTTTCTAGAGTGCAACATATGCAAAGAGCTTTAAAAAAGGAAGGGTGTTCAAGGCAAGTCTGCTGCATTGATAGAAATTTCTTCCTGGGTAGCATCTTGCTGAGATGGAGAGGTCTCATCGCACATGCTGGGAGGGTGGGTTGTTCTTAACACGGCTGGCTACATATGTGGACATATGTATTCATCTACATTTTATGTGACTTTTTTAAGTTACAAAAACTATTGCTGTGGCAAAGAAGCATAAACACACCACTTGTTATGGGCACTGTCCCAAAGGACCCTGTGCCAATCCCACTAAAATGCACACATCTGTAATTGTTTTGGATTTTTCCTGGTATTCTTTGAAGAAATGCAGAAACCTCTACACGGCCAGATTTTCACATTAGCCGTGAACCGTTTTATGCACTGCTCCCACAAGGCCCTGTTAGCTTGCATCCACTCTGAAGGCTCAGCTTTACAGCCAACGTTTATAGGCATTTCTGCCAACATGAAGCAACCACAGCCAGTGGCCTACACATTCATTACTGCACCTGATATATCCTGTAGTACTTGGCTTTAATGAGATGGCGGGTGGCAGGCAGGGTGCTACTGCACTTGTGTTCATGGCAATCAAGCAGAGCTGGCCCTACTTTTAGGCAGAGTGAGGTGGCCGACTCAGGCGGCAGATGCTGAGGTGGAGGGAGCAAAAGTAAGAGGCTGGTCAACAGATTTCCAGCCATGTGGTCTGTCCACTACTGCCCTCAGGTGGAGCGGAAGCCACCATTCCCTCACTAGCGTTGAAGTAAGACTCAGTTGCCAGTCTCTGTTCTACATTGAATGGGAGGGGGGCATCTTAACATTTACCTCAGGCAGCAAAAATGTCTTGGGCCTGTTGCGATGTCATAGTTAACTATATTTTTCATGATGTGGTTTTGGTAATGTTTGGGCCTTCCTTTTAACATCTCACCCTCAACATATTGGCTCTCCTATGGGAGGGCAAAGGCTTACAAAGTAATTTCCAGAAAACAGTTAATTTCCCCACAGTGACTGCTGAATTCTAACACGTGTGTGTGTGGAATCTTGTTTGGGCTCCATCCATCTAAAACTAGTGAGAATAACTAGATGTATTCAGCCACCAGAACATAAACATGAACTTTGAGAATTATGCAAGACTGAGTTAGGCCACTGTGGCATTTTATAGCACATCCAGGTGCCAAGATAATCAAGAGTGTGACTTCACTGCCACACAATGACTAAACATTAGTACTGAGCTAATGTTTTCACTAAACATTTAGAACATAAACCTGTTCTAAAACAAGATAGCAAACTGGCAGGCATGGAAATTATAGCACCAGTGCTCAGTGGTGTTTTATGTCTTCACTTGTTCTAGTGTACAAAAAAAGACTGAGATTGTAATTTCAGCTACTGTGCATTTTAATTCTCTGAAGTTTCTAGGTTGCCAACTAATAAAAGTTGGTCTCTATTTTAAAGAAATGTTTTTTTTATGGTGATTCCTTTAATGAATTCCTAGCATCTTGTGTTACTTTAAAACGTTGGGGGGGATTAAAACGGTAAATTAGAAAGAGATAACTCTTTTTCAGGGGCATAACAACAATGCACATTATGAATGGAAACACTGGCTGCCAAAGATCAACATCCTGACCCAAATGAGTTCCACCCTTTATACTGAGCCACCACCCTAGATGTGTTTTCAAAATGCAAACTTAGGAAGTCTTCTCTCAGTCAGTCAGAGCTTCCTCCAACTCCATTTTCCCCAAGATACACATTGATGACCATTTAAAAAAATACAGAGGTTACAAATCAGAGAAAGGCCCCCATCCTTAAAGTTGCACTGGGCTCCTTCTGGGATATATCACCACAACCTTATTTCAAAACATTGCTATTTTTATCTGGAGTAGAGAGGCAGGAAGCAGAGGCAGGCAGTAGCCAAAACTTCCCCAATTTGGTGCCCTCCAGAGGTTTTGAGCTGCACCTTTCACTATCCTTGCTCACTGGCCCTGCTGGCTGGAGCTGATGGGAGCTGGGAATGCAAAACATCTGGAGTACCAGATAAGGAACGCTGCATATACTTTAAAGTTAGCCTGGCAACAGTGGAAATTGAAAAATGGCCCCCATTGGCTAACATCCTTATGACATCTTCTCTCATATGCCTCTGTGACTGTAGGTACATTTGTAGCTCACTATTGGGTTTTCAATCTCCTTTCTGTCCTTTTTTCGTTAGCTGCCTCGGCTGTCATCTATCAGGTCCTAAAATTCTGCCAGGCCATTAAGGTGAGCGGGTTCAAGACTTTTCGATGGGAGGAAAATGTGGACTCTGTTTCTCCAGCTACTTTTACTGAGCTGGACAGCAGTCTGCCTGCCCCAATCAATCTGCTGTCACTTTTTTGCAGACCACAGAAGTCTTGCCTTGACACAGCAGAGCTTTTGAGGAGGGGCAGTTGCAGCCCTTATTTTGTTGGGAAGGGGGGGGTGTACTGAATAACTCTCTCTTTCTACTGGAAGCAGATCTCTTGGAAAAGCAAACTGTTTGCATCCACTCTCTCTGTGTGTGTGTCGTTCAGGGTTAGGGCGTTTGATCCAGGGAAGTTAAGCTATTTCCATTGTTTTAGACTGTACGCTCTTCGGGGTAGAATTCCTTATCTGAATTGTGTACAGAGCAATGTACACTGATGGTACTATATAAAGATATGTTAAAAATAAGTGGCTAAAGGAGATGCTCACACAACAATCCAAATGCCCTACACAGGCTTAAAAAGGTTGGCAACCTCCTGTCTAGCATTGGCTGTCTTCAAACCGAACAGCCAAGAGAAAAAGATGCTGTTGGTTGCTTATCCTCAGCATTTTTTTATGATTTCAGAGTTAAATGGGCAGCACCTGACTCATGAACAGCTTTTTTGGCTGTGGTTCCCTCCCTCTGGAACCTTTTGCAACTAGAATTCCTTTCGCACAGCTTTCATCAGCAGCTCAGTGCACTTTTATTCTCTAAAACCTTTAATGGTAACTGTTGATTTACTCTTTGGGAATTTCTGAACCTTTTTTTTTTTTTTGCTGACAACTGTCGTTTTAATTTGCTGTTAAGTGGTTCTAGCAGTCTGCTATTATAATGGAATTTTATGTTATTTTAAAATATTTCTGTGTGCATTGATTTGAATGCTCAGGCTGGAAAATTGCATCAGTAAACGCACAAGCATATACAGACATGCAGATACAATCCATGTTTCACTCTTGCTTCTACCCAGCCTCCTGCCGATCCCTTTTCTGAACCTTCCCTCCAAAGTCTTCAAGGAGATATTCTGGATATGTCCTCTAACCCAGTTCTGGTGGGCAAATCCATTTTTTCTCCTATTTTTATTCTGGTATCTCCCCCCATATGATCTAGACTGCTATGACCGCCTACTCCACCATTCTCCCAAACTTGCATGAAAAAGGCTTTCAAATCCTTATCTGGAAGCCAGGTCCCTGACCCCAAGCTCAGCTTCCCTAGGCCCAGAAGGCAACATATACTAAGCTCCATATTGTTTAGGATACCCTAAATAAAACATTTAGGATTCATTAATTTCAAGAAACCTGGTCTGCACCCAACCTATGGTAAATAATATGAAACTACCCCATCTGTGAAGGGACATGGGTGGCGCTGTGGGTTAAACCACAGAGCCTAGGACTTGCCGATTAGAAAGTCGGTGGTTCGAATCCCCGCAACGGGGTGAGCTTCCTTTGCTCGTTCCCTGCTCCTGCCAACCTAGCAGTTCGAAAGCACGCCAGTGCAAGTAGATAAATAGGTACTGCTGTGGTGGGAAGGTAAACGGCGTTTCCGTGCGCTGCTCTGGTTCGCCAGAAGCGGCTTAGTCATGCTGGTCACATGACCCGGAAGCTGTACGCCGGCTCCCTCGGCCAATAAAGCGAGATGAGCACCGCAACCCCACAGTCGGCCACGACTGGACCTAATGGTCAGGGGTCCCTGTACCTTTACCCCATCTGTGCCACAATCACTATCTCCGTTTCCTGATCCTGAAAGCTCCTGCTGAACTGGACCAAGAAGACACAGTCCCAGTCACCCAAGAGTGTCTGGGATAATCTCAGTTCTAGCATTACTCTTTCACAAGACATATCTCCCAAAACAGAGTTTCTCTCACTTCTCATTACCCAAATACAATTGCACCCAGAGAAAAAATGATTTTTTAAAAAATATGGCAAATTAATGGCGGGTGTGTGTGTTGGCTTTTTGGCTGCGTAGAACAGGAAAAACAGAAGCAAAGGGTCTGACTTGCACTTGGCTACAACGTGTCATATATAAACAAAGCTCACTTCAACTTTATTTCACAGTCACTGCCAGTCAAAGGAATGAATAAGCTTTCGCTTTCAATAGCTAGCAAACATTACACACTCTTATACACTGGCTTCCCAAACAGTCATGCTGTTTTGCTAATGTTAATAGAGGCTTGCACTTAAAAGCAGGCAGCGATCTTAGGATCCCTTGCATTGTATGTGGAGACGCAGATGTCTGAAACCAAATGGCAACTTGAAGAAGAGTTTGGGGGCTGAGCATCCAAGCCCCACCCCAATATTCCTGTGTGCTCCATGCAGGATCCCTCACTGAGTTATCAGGGGTCCTGATCATGAGGAGCCTTCTAAATGTGTTTAGCTGAATACACTTTGAATCCCCCTTAAGCCTTTGCTACTCAGCCCAGGTAGATCAGGAGTGAAGTGGGGAATAGCCAGCTCTCCCAGAGACACTGCAGGTGGTGCATGCAGACTTGCGGTCCCTGTTCAGGTTGCCATTATTGATTGTTGCACATGAGTGCTAAAAGCCTTTCACAGTTATCTGCACTTAGCAAAGGAGATGCTGGAACAGTAAATCTTAACAGCAGCTTGCATATCACATGAGACTTCCAGCAAGAAGGCCTTCACTTTCATGAAATGTTTTGAATGCCTAGCAAATAGTTCCACATTCCCCAGCTGCTGGGATGCTCTGGAAGCCACAGATACGGAGCCCCAATAAAGCTTTCATAGCAGGAATCTGCTAGCAATGAGTGACAATGGAGGATTAAAGTGCTGTAGCAATTATCTTACATTTTGGGCCACAATAAAGTATTGCACAACCATCAAGGACTGACCTGTTTCAGGGCAGGAGCAACTCCAAATGATTTTGGTGGCACTTTCCTCTGGCTGGAAAGTGTCAGGCAAACAAATTACAAAAATTAGCAAAGGCCAGCGGTATTCTGCTCTTCAAAAAAAAGCAAGCTACCCAAGCATTCAAAACTCTTTGCCAAATACAGAATTTGTATTTATTGCTCTCGCATGAAAGCTGAAGGAAGTTCACGATACCAAATCTTGGAGCATAGATTTTTATTCCAATGTCTGCTTTAAACTACCGGTACTTCTATGTGCCAAATGAGTTCCAATCCTCTAAGAAGGATAGGACCTGTATATGGGTTAAGTGATAATATCGCCATGCCAACACCAATGAAACCAAGTAGCACTACAGGGGGGAAATAAAGGGCATTTTGTATCATATGCTATTTAGAATGCAGCTTATTAATGACTTGAGGATATCTCTGGTTGACATGGATAGACTCCAGAGAACAACTATAAGCAGAAATCTTGGGAGTAAAAGTCCCAGGTGTGAGAATTTTAATCCAAACTGAAATGTTCCTCATTATTCGACAGTTGATCTGTAAAAATATAATAACTGAATCTTAAGATGGCCCCACTCAGATGGGCTTTTAATTAGCTACATGGTATTATGCCAACTCCAGTGTCTTAATTTATATGATGCACTGTCCATTTTTGTTTTGATAATCTTGTCATTGCTGTTTCGTTGCATTTTTCAAATTGATTTTACAAAGTTACAATTAGAATGTTATATTGTTAGGGGGAAGGGAAAGGTAGGATATAAATTATCGTCGTCATCATTTTTCTGGAAAAAAGAGGTGCAGGAACTCACCATGAGTTTTTCATAGAAGGGCCATGATATCTATAATTGTTCTCATTCAACGGAAAACTTTCCCTGAAGCACACTACCTCTTTCACTGTTTTGTAAGAATTCCTTGTGCACTGCTTTCGGCTATATTAATAGTTTTAGACATGCCACAAGCCTTCAGCAGACAGTGTCCATACCTTATCAAATGCTGCAGCTGTGTGAAGTGAAAAATTTGCTCTCTCCCCCCCCCCCAAAAATGAAAGCTGATATTCTCAGAGGGACACTACATTCTGCAAATTCCATTTTGCGTGGGATAGGAACACAAGAACTGCCTTGCTGGGTAAGACCAAGGGCTGATATAGCCCAGCATTCTGTCTCCAACATAGCCTAGGAAGATACTTCTGCAGGGTTGTAAGCAGGGCATTAAAGGGATGGTCATTCTCTGCTTGTCCTGGACACCCTGTGCTCAGATATGCACGGCCTCTGAACATGAGAGACTTCGCCCTTAGCTGTAATAGGCAACAGCTATGGATGGATAGATAGATAGGCCTATTCTCCTTGCCTACTGCTTGCTCTAAGCTACACTACATCAACATATCTTGTGCCAGGGAGTTCCATCATTTGTCTAAACATGTGCTATGTAGAAAAAGTACTTCTCTGTCCTGAACCTACAGGCAATCAACTTTATAGGGTGAACCCCAACTTGGGACGCGGGTGGCTCTGTGGGTAAAACTTGGGACGCGGGTGGCGCTGTGGGTTCGAATCCCCGCGGCGGGGTGAGCTCCCGTCTTTCGGTCCCAGCTCCTGCCCACCTAGCAGTTCGAAAGCACCCCTAAGTGCAAGTAGATAAATAGGTACCGCTTTATAGCGGGAAGGTAAACGGCGTTTCCGTGTGCTGCGCTGGTGCTGGCTCGCCAGAGCAGCTTCGTCACACTGGCCACGTGACCCGGAAGTGTCTCCAGACAGCGCTGGCTCCCGGCCTCTTAAGTGAGATGAGCGCACAACCCTAGAGTCGGACACGACTGGCCCGTACGGGCAGGGGTACCTTTACCTTTACCTTTATGGATGGATAGATAGGCCTATTCTCCTTGCCTACTGCTTGCTCTAAGCTGCACTTCATCAACATATCTTGTGCCAGGGAGTTCCATCATTTGTCTAACCATGTGCTATGCAGAAAAAGTACTTCTCTGTCCTGAACCTACAGGCAATCGACTTTATAGGGTGAACCCCAACTTCTAGTGCACAGGAATGCTTACAGTACACCAAATACAACTTAGTACCTTGTATATGTAATGCCTGCTCCCTAACAGCCATTCCATCAGGCTGCAGAAGAGGGAGGGGTGAGAAGCAGAGATTTTTCATCGGCTCTGCTGAGTCACCAGCTGCCTTTGGTTCTTTTTCTCCCTCATCTATCACCTAGCAATAGTTGTTCCATCAGACTACCTGAACTGTTTCCATCTAAATTAGTCACCCTTAGAACTTCAGAACTAGTGACTCAGTTTGCTTTTTCCTCCCTCTGAACCCCTTGTTCTTTTTGTGTCACGCCTTTTAAATCGTAACTCCAAGGCCAGGGATGATCTTGTTTTCTTTTTATTGATCTGCAAGCTTTTCAGCTGACGAGCAAGGTAAAAAACATACATGCTAACTAAATAAAAAACCTATTACCTTCATCACCATAAATCTGCATTGTTGTCCGAGCCCTACTCCATATAATGCTTGCTGTGTCACTGCCTATAACGTGGCAGCCTCTATACAACTTAAAACATCTAAGCAGTAAGGGGATGAGAACTGGATTCAATGCTACAAGGCAAAAAGCAGCAGAAATGCAAAAAGCTAAAGAAACAATAACAATCCGATCAGGTCTTATAGCAATGAAATAGAAGTGAGCTTTCCTACAATACCTAGAAAAGATGGAACAGATATTCATAAAGCACCACATAATAGGAATTAACTTCCAGTGTTGGCAACTAATGTGGTACAATTGATAGTTCGAGGTATTTGGAAGTGCCTGCTCCAGAGACAGCTGAGCAGGGTGGAAAGGCTGGGTGGAGTAAAGGGTTAACATGTGCGATTCTGTCTCTCTCTGTTGATTCTTTGTGGTTCTGGAATGTAACCCTGACAGTGTTCCAGAGGAGTAATGGGGCCTTTGGCTCTAAAAGGGTTCTCCATGCCTGGGCATACAACATTATAATATTAGAACACATTTATGATGACTCATGCATGACAGGTACACCATGTAGTCAGCCTCAAGGGCTTCCTCCAGACAATTGCACTAAGCAACACCACTGATGGATCACTCTGTCCTCCATCCTTTTGGAGCTGAATATATTCCTCTCCAACTTGCAAAACACAGATTTAGTAAAGCCCCACACTCTGGCCAGACGGTATAAGCAGCCAAGCCTGTCAAAGATGTCAAGCTCATCACTCTGATTCACCTCCTCTTCCTTTGGAATAACTGTTACAACATGCCCTTTCCTATGCTTATGTGCTTTGGAGAGTATTTCAAGTTTCCACAACAAGATGACGCTGTGACTTTCCACAATGCTGGATTGCCATTTGTGTATCCTTCCACGCACTTTTAGATCTCTAGACTGCTTCCCTATTGAAACAAAGCGGTGTGCAACACAAACATTTGAGCTCAACAGGTTTCCCTTTCATGCAAATAGCCCCAGGTTAAATCCTTTGCATCTCCAAGGAGGGGTCAGGAATATCCCCTGTCTGAAACCCTGTGGAAAGTCACTGCCAGCCAGTGTAGACAATGCTAAACTTGAAGGGCCAATGGACTGATTCAGCATAAGACAGCCTTCTGTGCCTTCTTCTCCATTTCAACAAAATGAGAATAACTACAGTCGACGCTACAGGACTGTTATGCAGACAGTAACGTAGGAGCTGCATACCAGTTTGTATACGAGTAGGGTTGGGCTGAACAACTTCAGAGGTGGTTACGAAATACTAGACTGATTTAATCATGTATTGTCTCTCACAGTACAGCAGCAAAAATGGCATCTTCTTCAGGGCTTGAGGATATCAAGCTAAAGTTGGGGGCAGGGAGATCAACCATACATCGCCTTTTATCTGAGATACTTGCCTAGCTAAGACACTTGGTGCTGTGGAAAACAAAATAGCTTTAGGTGATACTGTGTTGAAATGTCAACACAAGGTCTTCCCCACAGAGAACATCCAGGAGTTAGTATAGACAACCGGATGTTCCTGAAAGGTTCCTTAATCAGGCAGTGTACGGCCTTAGAAAAAGGTCAGAGCGAGCCTTCTGTTGACTGAGCACTTAAGTGTACATCCCAGAAAGGTATTTTCCTAATGCATATCACCACCTCTCCTGTGTAGGTAGTAGCCTAGCCCAAAGTAGAATAACAAACAAATTTTCCTCCAGGGTTAGAATGGAGAGCAGTGTGATTTCCAAAGTTTCAGTAGACTAAAAGGTCTCACAGAATAAAATAAAATATAAACACATTTTGACAAAAGAGTTGTTAAAAGGCTGGCAACAAACTTCCGAGCCACAAGCCGGAAACTGATAAAAAATAGGTTGCTGCTTTGCGAATGTTGTTCATGCTGCCATGTCTTCAGCCTTTCAGGATCAAGATGCACGAAGTTAGTTGAAGCAGATACTTAACTAGATTACAAGCAGACCGTGATGGTAAGGTTTCAAGTTACATAAAGGCCCTTTCAGGACAGAAGTGCTGTATTAAATATATGTATGTTCCCTTTGGAAATAACACAAACGCAAATAAGACATGTTTGCAACTTCAGAACTATTGGGAATGCACAAGGTCCCTGGAGGGGGCAGAATACATTGTAAGGTTGGGGTCAGTTTGGTCATTCAAGGTAGCAGGATTACATGGAATTAATAGGCTGCATTTGGGCTGCCAGGTTTGAACTACTGAAACATCGTTTGCTGTCAATTGTATACAGAGCTGTATGTTCAATATCCATTTTGTCATATATTGTCAGTTTGGCTTGCAGTCAGATTTTATGATTTCTCTCCTGTTGTACTCACTTCAACAAAATCTAACATTAAGAGAGCTCATAAAGTGTGTGTGTGTGTGTGTGTGTGTGTGTGTGTACATGCATATGCCAATAAATATATGCCCACACTTGCATTCCGACTGTCACGGGAGAGGCCCACAGGATTGCATTTGCACATACAGGTAACTTGCCTCATATGCGGGGGTTATGCTCTCAGGGTGCTGCATATACGCAAAAATGTGTATACTCAAACCACCCCCTGGAGGACACAAAACTGTCTCCACATGAGCAGTCCTACCTTTCGGAGCTGGCACACTGAATGGGTCTTACCAGCAGCAGCCCAAGTAAGGCAGAGAGCTTATTAAAAGCTCTTTCCAGGCCAGGAAAACCCTGAACAAAGAGAACTTTTAAGCTCTTCACCTTCCATACATTCGATTTCTGTGATTTCAACTGGCTAGCCGTGAACTATGTACAACTGAAATAACACGTTAAACGTGCTTAAGTTGCAAGTTACCTGTATTCAGATACTCACTCCCTTATACATTTTCAATGGGCAGGAGCAAGGTCAAGATGCCCATGAATTCTTTATTTCATGAATGAGTCCTGCTGCTCTTTTGACTAATCAGGAAGCTGAAGAGGATGATAGATGAGTTGGATTAATCTAGTGAAACCTTGTTCTTGAACAAAGGAACCCTGCAAACCAGCTTACATCCTAGTGTTAACTTGCCCCTGCCCAGTGTCTCCTTACCAACAATCTCTCTGCCATCCCATGCACCATAAGGGGGGGGGGGGGGTCCCACTCTAAGGACAAAATAGTCAAGGTACGAGACTAATAAGGATGCGGTGGCTCTGTGGTCTAAACCACTGAGCCTCTTGGACTTGCCAATCAGAAGGTTGGGGGTTCGAATCCCTGTGACAGGGTGAGCTCCCGTTGCTCTGTCCCAGCTCCTGCCAACCTAGCAGTTTGAAAGCACGCCAAAAAGTGCAAGTAGATAAACAGGTACCGCTCCGGCGGGAAGGCAAATGGTGTTTCCATGTGCTGCTCTGGTTTCGGTGTTCCGTTGCGCCAGAAGTGGCTTAGTCACGCTGGCCACATGACCTGGAAAAACTCTGCGGACAAACACCAGCTCCCTCAGCCTGTAAAGCGAGATGAGCACCGCAACCCCAGAGTGTCTGCGACTGGACTTAACTGTCAGGGGTCCTTTACCTTTACCATTCTACTAGACTAATCTTCCTTATGTCCTTGCCTTGCCCAGAATATAAGGGTGAGAAATCCTGCCTTCTGACACTGGTAAAAAGATAGCCTTCTTCTTGCTGTTGTTCAAGTACTGGCAGTTAGTCTTTGTTGTTTATCAGAAAAATATCAGATAATCAGCCAGTCTTGCACAATGTGGCTGGGCCAATAATTAAAGCATGAAAAAAGGAAGAGAGATGAACACCTTAATGCTGCTATAACCACAAATTCCCACACACAAAAGTTATTGTGCCACAATGCATTTCTGAAATTATCCCAACACTTGACAAGATCAAGGGGGTTCAGGGGAATCTTTCCTCAATATTTGGAGAAATCTCACACAGCATGTATTCATATTTTACAATAAGCACATATTAGGCAATTTACTACCCAACAACTGCAGCTAAGCTAAGCGGTAAATTACAGTAAAATTAGTTGCAACAAAAACAAGTATTGTGGCCCCTTAATAATTAACAAACATATTTTGTTATGAGCTGTCACATACTGAAGTCTGCTCTAACGAAGTGGGCTTTAGCCCATGAAATCTTGCACCACAATACAGTTGTTGGTCTTTAACCTAGGAGGTCATAAGCCTAACAATTATTGCCATTTGCTCCTTTGCAACACACCAACACTAAGCTATTTTCCACTGATACAGTTTATATCTATTTTATTTAAGAAACTATATCCCGCTTTTTCACCATCTAGGTCCCAAAGTGGCTTACAACAATAAAATATAGAACATACAAAATTTAAAGCATAACTTAAACTACCGGAAGTTAAAAATCTAAAATATTTTTTAAAACAAAGAAAAACATCTAAGAAGCATTCAGGGTGCAATGGCCTCTTGAAATAAAAATCTTGGCTAGGTATATGAAACTCAGCAGAGACGGTCCCTGTCTAACTTCTTGTAGGAGGGAGTTCCACAACACTGAAGGCCAAATTGCTCATTTATACGATTCATGCTTCTGACCCATAGGAAACCATTAACACTGCTCTCCCCAACGATCTCAGCGATTGACTTGGGGTGTGAAGGGTGACGTAATCCTTAAGGTATCCTGCGTAAAAGTTATTCAGGGCTTTGTACACTAGTAGTAGAATCTTGAACCTGGCTCCGTAGTGGATGGGAAAGTAGTATGGGCCTTTTAACATTGGTATCATGTATGCCTGTCACTAGACTAGCCGCAACATTCTGCACTACTTGAAGCTTCTGGACCAGCAGAGGCTACCAAGGGCAGCACCATATGGAGCACACTGCAATAGTCCAGTCTTGAGGTTACCAATGCATGAACTACAGTAGTCAGGTTATCCCTGTTCAGGAATGGCCACAGGTAATGTACCTGTCAGTGCTGATAAAAGGCACTTCTAGCCACAGGGGCCACCGGAGCCTCAATTGACAATGATCAAGAAACTTGATGAAGACCATTCCTGGAGGACCCACCCTGCACTGACATACAGCAGCTGGCCTTGACCCTAGAATTCTGGGTACAGTGGGTAGATTTAAAAATCACAATGTTGACATGAATGATTTTTGGACTACGGAGGGGGGTGTCCATGTTGAGCTTTAATTTTTTTATGCTGGTGGATGGGAGTATTTTTTGGTTTATTGTTAAGGTGTTGCCAATGTTTTCCATCACTGTTATGGGAAGTGAGTGGTTTTAGTTTTTTCCTTTTTCCAAAATGTTGTATGGAATATGAATGTGTTATATGATTCTCCCACCTTTTCTATGATATAATGTATTTATGTGTTTTTTGGCGTGCTCTGGTCCATGGGGTCACGAAGAGTCGGACACGACTAAACGACTAAACAACAACAACAATGTTTTTTTAAAAATGTAATTCACTTGGGGGGACTGTTTGGGTGACAAGCAACTACTAAGTTTAAATAATAACAACAACAACAATAATAATAATGATTTATGAACAACCTGCTCATCTTATGCATGTCTATAAAGATGGACACAAGTATGATTTAATATGAAGACAGAAGTGCCTGGCGTGCTCTGGTCCATGGGGTCACGAAGAGTCGGACACGACTAAACAACAACAACATGATTTAATATAGTTAAATGATAGGTTTGCTAAAATATTGTAATAGAATCCTTATAATCAACAGATTACCATATATTTGCTAAGCTTGTGGATGTTGCCCTTGAACACATTTGAAGATGAAGACATTAGTTCGGTTAGGTAAATGTGTCAAAAACATTATTTTCTCCCTTTCAGATACTTCTTGAAGTCTGTATGGAACTTCTCTTATAGTCAAACAATTTTCAGGTTATGAGTGGCTATGACTTCTGTGCAAACAGCTAAGTCAGACAGAGGGAGCATGGTACTTGCTTTGTCTTTTACTTGAGAATAAAAGCATGAAGCATTCCTGATTAATAACAGCTGAAGGGGTCTTAGCAATGAAACAGAAGAGTCTGGCAAGCTAGCAAGTTTGGCTTTTTAAGAAGATGACAAATAATGATTTTTTCCTAATCATCTGGGACAAGTGTTAACAGCTGAAGCTCTCTCAGCTCTAACAAATGCCCTGAACTATTTTTCCCACTGTGAGATGACTTTCTGCCCTCGTCTTAGGTTGGAAATCCATATGGAATTCAATTATGGGCAGCTGGACACTTGGACTCAGAGGCCCACAAGAATCTGAAAACCATCAGGACAGGTGCAAAAAAATGCATCCCCACCAACACCCCGTTTCCCGTCAACAACTGCAATCACTGTTGTGGGATTCATATGAAACTAATTTGATCATACTGAAGTAAGTGTCCTGTGTGTGCTGGGGAGATTTAAATGGAAGGTGCGTGTGTCTTTTTAAATGAAAATCCTATTTTTGAAAATTCAAACAATAGGGAGTTTTTTTATTTCAGAAGTAATTAATTATAGTTGTCTCTCCTATATAAACAAACGTTAAAGTATCTTAAAATATCTTAAAACCTAATTAAGGCCATCTATCAAACAGAGTTAATGAAAGGTTTGTGTAAAAAAATAACACTGGGTGAAACTATTTCAGTTATAATGCTAAGCATTATAAATGACACAAGGGAAGCATGTATTGAATTTATTATTGCTGATTTCCTCCTGGACCCAGAGTCTAGCAAGCCGTCACTGGTACTAGGATCCAAAAGATGCCATCTTGTATACTGCCAGGATCATCCACAGAGCCCATATGGGTGATCATGTACTCCTAATTAAACCCTTCAACTTCCTGAGTTCTGCAATATGTTCAGTTTTCATGTTATGAATATTTATGAGCCTACTAACCAAATGCCATGGACATTTCTCTCAATCACATTAATAAACACTATTTTGCTCAATAGATAATAGCCCTTATGGTCTCAATACTTCAAAGTGAAATTCTGTGCAATATTTTTTCAGAAGTTCCACTTTCTTCAGTGGGGCTTCCTTCCAAATAAATATACTCTTACTTAGCCATCAAGTAAGAGATGTTGTTTAATATTCTTGAATGTGTAAAGAGAGTGCCAGAGAGAAATGTGTCTCCTGACTCAGCTATGCATAAAGACTCTATTTAATTAAAAGCTAATACATTTAAATTATCATAGTAACCAGTTAGTAAGCATGCCTGTGCAAATTTACAGGAATTTCAAAATAAGAAACTGCATTTAAATCAATCATTTTAATTTGTTCTTTTTCCTTAACAATTCAAACAATTTAAATCACCTTTGTTTAAATCAAACCACTCTGAGTGCATGGTGGTCTCTGTCATACCGCAAGAAGCCCTGGTGCCCATTGCCCTCTGGCACCTCTGGATGTACCCTCAAGATGAGGTGTTACCACCCTGTTCTGGTTCCTTTCCCCCACCAAACTCTGTTTCCATTTTCCAGATTTCCCGCACAACATAATGATGAACACACCTAATGGAAACATCAGTTGTGTGACTTCTTAGCGTGAAGATGTGGGTTATCTCATTTCACTCTTAGCAGAATGAAACTTGATGGAATAAGCCAAACACACGAAATATTAAGGGAAGGCAAAAGTAAAAGTAAAGCGATCATAAGCACCAGAACAGAAACAGATCGAAAAGTGAGTGAACAACTTATTCCTCTTTAAGAGGATTCCCTTCCGAAAAGGGCAGAGGAGACGCCCATCACCTGCAGAGGCAAGCTACTGAGAAACCTGCTGGTAATCTCTCTTATTGTCTGACACTTGCTTTGCTCAGAACTTACCACTCTTGGTTTATCCAGGGTTTGCAGGAAGGCTGGGCTCTGGTCCAAGGATCTCTCGGGATCGCTGGAGATGTCTTCCTCGGACTCTTCCCAGGATGAGGAAAAGCCTGTGGAAGAGGCTGAGGAGGAAGACAACTTCCTGACAGGCATGTTCTTTCGGGGGCTTCCTCCTGCCTCTTCCTCCTCCTGAGCACCCAGGTCAGTCACTATGACAGCAGGGATGCTGCTTCCTCCTCCGCAGCAACTCTCAGCTTCCATCAGGGGCTTTCCCTGCTCCTGCTGCTCTAGGGCTGCCGAGGTCACAGGCAGAGGCTGCTGCCCCCCAGGATGCTGCTGCTCTTGCAGCCCAGCTCCGTTAGCTTCAGCCATAATGTCTGGGGAGGGCTCGGGTGCCGGCGGCAGCTTCTTGGCCGAGCACTCCACAACTAGCAAGCAGCTGCTGCTGCTACCCTCCTCGCCGTCAGTCTTGGCAACACAAGGCGGGTCTCCTGCCGGGAGCGGCTCTCCAAGGGGCTTCTCCGTCGCGTCGGAGCCCTGCCCTCCACGAAAGCCGCTCCTCCCCTGCGCGCCTTCTAAGAAATCTGGAGCCTTGGAGGACCCGCTCACCTTGGGCGGCCCCCGGGAACGCCGCGCATCGTCTTCCAGGAGCTGCCTCCCGTTCCCCGTCGCCCCTTGACATCTCCTCGCGCTCACCACGTCTCTGGAGTCCTGGCATTCAGAGGAGTCGCTTCTTTTCTCCGAGTCCTGCCCCCCACCGGACCCCGGCCTCCTCTCCTCCTGCGTCCTGGAAGCCCCATTCGCCCTGTCCATCGCGCCCCGAGGGTGCGCCTTTGGCGAGGGGTCCCCTTTCTCCCTCCCCTCGGAGACGCGCGCCGGAGGCGACTTGCTCTCCAACTCTTTGGACTCCTGCGCTCCAGTTCTCCCGCCGCCCATCTCCTCCTCCTCCGGGCGCTGGGCTCTGAGAAGGGGCCCGTTCTCCGTCTCCATCGCGCCTTGCGCAACCGGAGAATCCGTCTCTCTCTTCTCCGCCTGCTGCTCCGGCGTCCTCGCCGTGTTCTCTAGCCGGGCCAGGGGGCTCTCCGGCCCCTCGACGGTCGCCTCCTCCTCCTCCTGCCGCCGCTCCGACCCCGCCTCCGGTGCGCGCCCAAGCACTTGCGCGCCCCGAGCCGGGCTGGGCGAAGGCGACCTCCTCCTCCTGCCCGCGCCGGGACTCTTGAGGAGGAAGGCGCCCGCGGAGCTCTGCGCCTGGATGTGCGCCTCGAAGAGCCCCACTTTCTGAGTCACTTGCACGTTCTGCCGCTGCAGGAGCCGCGCCGTCCTGCGCGCCTCTTCCAAGCCGGGCGAAGGCGAGCGGCCAGGGGGGCTCGCCCAGCTGGGGCTGCTAAGCCGGCGGCGGGGCCCGCGGGGCGCAGCCTCCTCCTCGCCCCCTGCCTGCAGCAGCAGCGGCTCCGCCGGCGGGAACAGGAAAGCTGGGGTGGCGGCAGCAGGAGCGCTGGAGCGCCCGGGCAGCGGGCAGTAGCTGCTGTGCCTCTCGGTTCCCGGGACCAGGGCAGGCAACACCTGCCTGCGCGTGACGGGCGGCGTCTTGCTCCTGCCGCCTCCGCAGCCGCCCTTCTCCTCGTCTTCCTCGCCGCTCCTCATGACCACTAGGCTGTTGAGCGTATAGCAGGACACGGCCATAGTAAAGGGTCCGCTTCTTCCTCCTCCTCCTCCTCCGCCACCTTCTCCTCCTCCCAGGTCAGCCTCTGCCGAGCAGCCCACGTCCTCTCAGGGCCGGCGGTGGCGGCGGCAGTAGTAGTGGCGGCTGCAGCATCGCCCAGGGAGCAGCCGAAGAAGCGCAGAGGCGGTGTGCTGGCCCCGGCCCGCCGCTCCATAAACAACTGAGGAGAGAGGGAAAGAGAAGAGGGACAGTGAGCGCGGGAAAACCGAGGCGTCTTTAGTCGCGCGCGCTGATTGGCCGCGACGTTCGCGGCTCGGCCAATGGCGGCGAAGCCCGCGGATCATGGGCCGGGCTGGCGGCATGAGGGAGTAGCTGCGGCTCAGACTCTCCTCTTAAACTATGGAGAGCGTTTAAATGCCCGCACGGCAAACCAGAGCTCAATTTAATGTGCCTTTCCACAGACAGCGGAGATATCAAACGGAACCTTATTTCAAATCCGGCTGGGGGGAAACCAAAAACCTTCAGTGGCGAACAACCGACCCATTATTTCCCCCACCCACCCCTCTACCGCAATGTTTAATGCGCTGTATTTTTAATGTAAGGCGGAGAGGGGAGACCCTTGAACATTCCGTACTTTGGTCAAATTCAGCATTTCATCCATTAAACCCAACATTAAACTGAACCTGCGGAGACCATACGAGTTCAAAATCATAGCCCCTCTGATTTAAATGCCATGGCACAGCCTCGGGGATATATAAATAATGGAAAAGAAAAGAGAAAAGAAAGCACTTATATCGACTGGATGAGTAACTTTCCCTGAAGCAAGCACAGTCACAGGCATACAGTATTGAGAGAAGTGAGATCTGCGGACACATGAGTGCCTCTGGACCAGGCATATTATTATTATTTATTGAATTTATATACTGCTTTATACCCAGGGGTCTCAGGGCAGTTCACAGAATAAAATCAAGATATAAAATCACAAAATACATAATAAAAATAAAACAACCCAACAGTCCCCCCCCCCCCTCCACAGAGCAGGGCGGTCCAGGGAGGATGCTATTGGAAGAGATCAAAAAGATTGCGGCACAGTGAGGAGCCATGGGCAAATCTCCTTATTAGCCCCCAGATCTTAACTCTGACATTAAAGTTTGGGCAAATAAGTCTTAGACTTGCTGGTAGGGTGCGGAGGGATGGTAATAGCTCTGGCCATTGCTTTGAAGGAAATTATAGGTGAAGATGTATCCACAAGGGTGGAGGAAGTGAGGTGGTGTGACTAAAAGTTGAGCTCTCCCCTCCCCATTTATTTAAAACAAATGGAGGCAAGAGTTGTGGGGGAATGTGTAATGGGCAGCCCTAGATGCAGGCCCGAGAGACTGTGGTGGGGATGCAGAGAGACTCACGAATCTAATGGGCCTAATCATGGTCGTAGTCAGGATTTATGTTAGGAGGGCAGGATTTATAGGGTGAGGAACAGAACCAAGCTACCTGTGACACGATTGGGCAGTTAAGCATTTTTTATTATTTACTTGATTGGGGGGCAGCAGCCCATGGCCATGGGCCTATTTGAAGTGGAAAACTGAGCTGTAAAGACAAAAGGCATGACAAGACTGAGGGAAGGAGAGCTACTGACATGTCTCTTTGGATGTGAACTATCGTACTTCACACCATTCCTTTATTTTATACCATACTACCTTACACTGTACCTGTGCACACTGTCAGTTGCTATATACCTTGGCATATGATTTGAATTTGTGGGCAACTTGCTGAAACCTAGGCAGAGTTACTTCATGTATAAACGAGCTATCCAAGTCTTAGGAACTTTTGTGAGAATAAGCACCAACTGAATTTAGTGGGATTTATTTATGACTAAATATGCATAGGATTGGGTCACACAATGCGCAGTTACTTCCTCCTATACCAGAGTTGGTACAGGTGCACATATTATTATGTATGGGTGTACTGTTGTGTTTGTAACTTGTAATGCCACTAAATATTTGGGCATAGAAACACTTGCAGCTTTTAAGTCTGATACGCATCTGTGTGGTTTGCTCTAGTCCCGATTCAGCAATGCTAAGTTGTGTAATGCAGACCTTTATTGTGTGCATTTAATGGATTTCACATTGTTACTACCTCTGTGAATTCAGCTGCCCATTTATTTATTTAACAAAATTTGTACGCTACTTAACTGTAAATAAAACTTCTAAGAGGTAATTTTATGTGCCTGGCTACATGAATAAGCATTTGGTTTTTGCATCTGTCTACTTACAAGGTCTCATAAGACACAAATTTTAGATGAGCAGTTACCAAACCATGCTACTATGCACCACTGCACCTAAGCACATTTGTAGTTGCTACATAGCTTTGCTCAGTAGTTTACTATTCTGAATTTGTGAGATGCTGGACAGCATGCTGAAACCTGCGTGAAGTTACTTCATGGATGGAATCTAGTTTTACACACTTTTCTAAGAATAAACCCCACTGAATTTCATGGGAATCACTCCTTAGTAGATATGCATAGGGTTTGGCTGCAAATGCAGTTACCAGAATCCCATACCAGTGCCACTTGGCCAAATGCCTCTATCCCTACATTAGAGGAAAGATGTGACTATTATTATTGATGCCTATATATTTCAATAAGCACATGCGATTAAAGTATTCTAGGGCAGTGTTGCTGTGTGCACCAATTTTTGTGATGCCTGTTCAAGATAATCTAAAACAGAATAGTTACTCCTTGATGCACTTCCTTTTGTATTTAAAAACAAAGCGGCTAAAGAATCATTAAGATGGTGGAATTTCTCTCATCTTTCAGTGCAAACCTTTGAAGATTATTATGATGCTAGTGGTTATCAGTAAAAAGAACATCTTATCCCCGTGTGGTGTTACACTATAGCCTTCTGGTCCCTGAACATATATGTCCCACCCTGTAAATAGTCAAGAGTTAATGTTATCAACAGTGAGCCTTGTATCACCTTAAAGATCAACACATTTATTGTGGCACAACCTTTAGTGGTTCAAGTGCCCTGCATCAAATGCATGAAAGTGTTAGCCTTGGTAGGCACTGTATATTTCCACCCTCTGAAGGCACAACCTAGAGAGAACTATGAACTCGATTGGCCATGGTTTTAAAAAGCAGCCATGGGCAAATATAAGCTGAATCATGGTGATAGAATAATATTTAATCCTATCCCTTTGCATTGTTTTCCCAGTTCCTCACCAATACCTGTATGCTTTGCCACATGGTGCTAATAACAGCTGGAGAAGCAATTTTAATCAGGCAAATTGCACAGGCGAAAGGGCTCACATCCTCTCCCTCATCACTGAGGTCCAGATCGGAATTCCTTTCCCCACCCCACAGCTATTAATAGCATTTTTTAAAAAATGTAGGAGTTCCTATTCATAGATCTCCTTTGCCTTGTCTAGTTTAGTCCCAAGAGCAACACTTTACGTAACTGATTACGTGGACTCTTCCCCAAAACCCGCAATAAATTTGTTCATTTCAAGTGCCACAAAACTCTGGAAATTGCAACAATATTATGATTGTTATTAATTAATTAATTAATTAATTGAATTTCTACACTGCCCTTCATTCAAGGAACACAGGGCGGATTAAAATATAAAACAGAGAAATACACACCATAATAACAAACAAAAACAATACCTCCCTCCCCAGTTTAAAAGACCATAGATTGTTCAATTAACCAAAGGCCTAAGAGAAGAGGAATGTTTTTGCCTGGCACTTAAATATATGTAACGCAGGCACCAGGAAGGCCTATTGAGGAGAGCATACCACAAGTGGTAAGCCACCACAGAAAAGGCCTATTCTTGTGTGGCCACCCTCCAGACCTGTCACAGAGGAAGCACACAAAGAAGGGCCTCATATGATGATAGCAGGGTCTGGATCAGTTCATATGTGAAGAGGTGGCTCTAAACATATCGAAGTCCTGAGCCATTTAAGGATTTGTAGGTCAAAGCCAGCACTATGAATTGGACCTAGAAACTAATAGTCAGCCAGTGCAACTGGACCACTTTTGGTGTTATATGTTTAAACCAGAGATTTTCAACTTTTTTGAGTCCACGGCTCCCTTGACCAACTATGTTCTTTCTGCGGCACCCTTGTGGGGCTCTGGAGCCAGATTATGTCACCCCTTGTTTGCAGAGCTGGCGGCCTCTCACCCTTTATCGAATACCCTCCCTTGTGGAGTGTTCACTTAGCCTCCTTTCCTTGGGAGTCCTCTGCGCAGTCGCTGCTGCTGCCCCTGGTCTCTGAGCTGCCCCACCCCAAAGAGAGATGCCTCCTCACACTGCCACACAGGGGCCTAGGACTTGTCTGTCCATTCCCAACAGCAAGGGCTGGAGGGCTGGCTGGCTTGGCTGCTTGCTTGCTTACTCTGAGGCCATCTCAGCTCCCGGCAACCAGCACTCCCTGACGAGCCCCAGAGGCACCAATTTGCCTGTGGAGCTTGTAGCCAGGGCTGCTGCAACCAACAGCTGTACAAGTCTTTGGGAGGCAGAGATGCAAGAAGGCATCAAGGAGAGAAGGAAGGAAAGAGGGACAGAGGCCAGTGTTGCCCACAGCACCCCTGAACGTCATTCAAGACACTGCTGGATTCCACAGCACCCTGGTTGAAAACCGCTAGCTTAAACCATCTTGTCCCAGTGAGCAACCTGGCTGCTGAATTTTAAGTGTTCACACTGTTTTTTAACACTCCGTAACTGCAAGTCATAATGACATAAGAAGGGCCCTGAAGGATCAGTCAAACGCCCACTTAGTCCAGCATTCTGTTCTGATAATGACCAGCCAGATGCCAAAGGAAATCTCACAAGCTGGACCTTTCTGCCAGAGCACTCCCCCGACTTATGATTCCTTGCATTCTAACTCCACCCTCGCAAGGAAGGCAAAGCCCATGTTTTTGCTACAAGATTTCTAAGGTTAAAAGTGGCTTGTTCAAGTCCCCCAAATATCACAACTAAACTAGATATGGACTCCTAAAGCCGAGCGCCATGTTTAGTATTAGCAGCACGACTTTTGTGAGCACAGTTAATTACTTTAGTAAACCCACTGTGCATAGCTACACATATTCGCATGAGTTTGTTCTTAGGATTGTGTAACCCTCTGGACCAAGGCTATGCTTATGTTCCCTGTTTTTTTTCTTGACATTGCTATGCACATATGCTACCTCTCCCCCTCCCTTTGTTGCCTATGGCTTCTCAGAACACCGCAAATGACATGCCTTGTGGCTCTGCTTTTATACATAATGTATGCATATTTGCAATTCTGCTTTTAAGCACTTTTCTTGCAATTCCACATTTCCGAGCAGCTCCGTGTAAAACGACGCTTGTATAGCAAAACAAAACCCACAGCTGTGGACCTGAATGCACCCCTGTGGGGACTCCCTGTGCATCTCTGTGTTTACATATACCTTACTTTGCAGAATTCTTGCATACACTGTTTTTGTACAAGCAGTACTGCAAATACCTTTGGTGACTCGGTTAAGTACAAGGCACACTTTTCTCCACTATTGCATCTATGGGGGGGGGCCGGAGTCAACCGTGGCGTACTAGCTGGCTCTCTGTGCTACCTGAACGGCTCATTAAAATTACAGCTCCCTTTTATGGAAACTCTGAGTGCGTCCAAATGCCGAAGGAGAGGAAAGGAGGCGATGTGCATTAGATATTGGGTAAACATGCTGGACGTGGCCATGTGTGTTTATGCGCAGTCTAAACCCCGTGATGGATGCCTTACCGTCACGCTACACAGGGCAAACAACTGTTGGCGATGTCTGCCCAAACAAACAAACAAACAAAGGTGAGTAACTGCAGATCAGCATCGCAACGCCCTCCACCCCCATCGCAGATTTAACTCCATCGGCTGAACCGCCTCTCATCGTAACGGATACAATTCGCTTCTCTGGAAGTCTCCGCAGGACTTTTGGGGGTTTTGTACTCCAAGCGGATCTTGCCCCCAAAAGGTAGCTTGTCCCCCTGCCAAAGGAACCTGCAAGGACTCGGAGCCCCATTGCCAGTTGAGCAGAGCGCAGTTCGGCAACCTCTTGAGAAATAGCCATTGTGAAATGTGTGCGCCGTTGCCCGCCCGCGCACCCAGCCTAAAAATCTCTTCTGCTCCTACAGGGTCTGCGAAAGGAGAAATCCCCTCGGCCGAGCTGGGGGGTGGCGGTATGCACAGAGCGAAATAGGAGAGGTTGGCCTTACCTGTTCCGCAGAGGCTGTTGCACCTTTAGTTCACATCTCCTAGCATCAAGGCGCGCAGACTTCCAAACACCCCAGAAATTATTTCCAACAGTCAGATCGCAGCTTTTTCCGGCGTCCGTTCACTGCCCCTCCTCTCTCTCCCCGCAGCCGAGCTGCAAAAGAGCGAGTGAATGGTTCGGTCGGCAGAATCGAGAACTTTTGTTTTGTTGGCCGATCTGCCGCCGTGCTCAGCGCTCGACTTTTGCAACACCGCCCTTGTCATTGGCTGCTTCTTCAACGTTTGTTGAATGTGCGGGAGAGAGAGAGAGGGAGGGAGGGAGAGAGTAGGGAGGGGAGGGGGTCGGAAAGCAGGAAGGAAGTTGTGAGCTTGTCTGGGGTTGAACTCAGCGGAACAAGTTTCTTTTCATTTTTTTTCTCTCTCTCTGGTGCTTGGCAGGACCGATGGAGGGAAACACTTAAAAAAAAAGTTTCCATTGTTAACTAGCTCAGAACAAAATCTGCTCCAGCCGTTGTGGGTTAAAGATACAGCATCCGTTTTTCCACCCCTCGCTCGCTCTATGTATAACTTGCTGCTGCTATTTAAAAACCTTTTCAGCTCCTTTGGGCAGAACGAGATCCCAAGCTGGGGCAGCTGCAGCTTTGCAGCCGGGGTCTCCATTCAAAGCCACCCGCCAGCGGTGGCGTAGCGTGGGGGGTGCAGGGGGGCCGGCCGCACCGGGCGCAACATCTGGGGGTTAGGGTTAGGGGGCGCAAATCCACGGGTTAGGGGGCGCAAATTACTTGCCTTGCCCTGGGTGCTGACAACCCACGCTACGCCACTGCCCGCCAGGCAATAATAATGCAATGTGCCCACGTAGGAGCGTGCACGCATGCAGGAACAGCAGTTGCTTCTCCCCACCAAACCCTCCCTGGAGCCCGTTTCCTTTTTCAGTCTTAATTTCGTGCAGGGAGGTGCGGCCTTGACTTTGCTCACTGAAAAGGGGAAACGGTCCTTTGGGAATGTGCTCTGGCAAGATTAACCCAAGTCTTGAGGCCTGAAGTATATTTTTATACACAGGACCAGACCAAGCATAAGAAGAGTCCTGCTGCAGCTGGCCAAGGGCCCGTCTAGTCCAGCATCCTGACTGGGAGTGGCTGCTGACACCATATAAAACCAGTCCTGAAAGACCTACATTGGCTCCCAGTAGGTTTCCAAGCACAATTCAAAGTGTTGGTGCTGACCTTTAAAGCCCTAAATGGCCTTGGTCCAGTATATCTGAAGGAGCGTCGCCACCCCCATCGTTCAGCCCCAACACTGAAGTCCAGCTCCGAGGGCCTTCTGGCAGTTCCCTCACTGCGAGAAACCAAGATACAGGGAACCAAGCAGAGGGTCTTGTCGGTAGTGGCACCCACCCTGTGGAACGCCCTCCCATCAGATGTCAAGGAAATAAACAACCATCTGACTTTTAGAAGACATCTGAAAGCTGCCCTGTTTAGGGAATTTTTTTATGTTTGATGTTTTATCGTGTTTTTAATATTCTGTTGGGAGCCGCCCAGAGTGGCTGGGGAAACTCAGCCAGATGGGCAGGGTATAAATAATAAATTATTATTATTATCATTATTATTATTATTATTATCACCGTGATCAGCCAGATGCCTATGGTTAGCCTAAAACCAGGACCTGAGCACAACAGCACTCTCCGCACCTGCGATTCCCAGAGACACTGGTATTCAAAAGCATACTGCCTCCGAAAGTGTAGGTACAGCATAGTCATATTGAGTACAGTGGTACTTCGGGTTACATACGCTTCAGGTTACAGACTCCGCTAACCCAGAAATAGTGCTTCAGGTTAAGAACTTTTCTTCAGGATGAGAACAGAAATTGTGCTCCGGCGGCATGGCGGCAGCAGGAGGCCCCATTAGCTAAAGTGGTGCTTCAGGTTAAGAAGAGTTTCAGGTTAAGTACGGACCTCCGGAACGAATTAAGTACTTAACCTGAGGTACCACTGTAGTTGCCACGGACAGCCTTATACTCCATTAATTTGTCTAATGCTCTTTCAGAGTCATTCAAGTTAGTGGCCATCTTGACTTCTTGTGGCAGCAAACTCCCTAGTTTTAACTATGCACTGTGAGAAGCAGCCATGTGCACAGGTGCTGCCAAAGGGAGAGCCAGGGATGCAAATGTCCCATCAAGTCTAGTTGCTTCTTAAACCCCCACCCCACCCCAGCCGCCCATTGCTGGACCCCCACAGTGATGTGATGAAAAGAAGGTTTTCACCTACACATGATCATTGAATTAATAACGGGAGATTGAAATAAGGCTGTAATCATAAGCACACCTAAAAATCAACTCTGTCACAACCAAGACACTTTTTTCAGCCGGAACTTGCCCGAACTCAGTTCCAGCACCACTCAAGTAGATTTCGGCACTTCTTAGGTAGGTGCCATTGCCATTCTAAGAGAATGAGAGAGGCGTTCATGGTGAGTTCCAGCATCTCTTTTTCAAGAAATAATAGCACTGGTCACAACCAATAGGATGTACAGTACTTCTAAGGAAATATTTTTAGGATGGGAACATCGATGTATGTTCTCATTCAGAAATCTAACATGTAAGATATGTTGCCCTTGTCTCCCTACATTGCTTTTTCTGGTGCTACAACAGCCTTTGAGTAACACCTCTACAGTACTTTGCTGCTACAGGAGAAATGTGAGTCAGACCAGCTATCTTTTGGCTCCTCTTTTCCTGGAACCGTGTCCTCTAAGTTCTGGTACCTGTGTTTGCTTGTTTTCCTCTTCCCTCCTCATACCTTTTCCCTTTTGTATTGTGTCTTTTAGATTGTAAGTCTTAGGTCAGTGTAATTTTTAAATTTTTGTACAATAGAGTATGGAAGTTGTCTTGCAAGAGCTTTTGAGCACAGCTGAAGGATGCCAAATAACATGCTTTAGTTATTAATACAAATTTATTCGGTTGTATCTCGCAGCCCTACAGACATTTGACTCTTCTGCATTATTCCTGTCTATTCATTTTAATGTTATCCTTTTTTTAAAGGATGCAGATAGGAAGCATATCAAATTATGCTATTGACAACATGGGCATAGCCAAGGGGGGCAGCTCCCCCCCCGGCGGTCGAGTAAAACAATAGAAATACTTAACTAACCGACCAATTACATCGGTTCTGCCTCCCCTAACAAAAGTCTGCTCCCCAAAAAAGTACTCCCCCCACCAAAAAATAATAATCCTGGCTACACCCATGATTGACAACTAGATGTATACAATTTATTATGGGGACTCCATTTCTATTCTCTGCACTGGATACCAAAATATCTTGAGATTACTCTACTTAGTCTGCAATCCTAAACACCCTTACCCAGAAGCAAGTCCCACTGGATATGCATAAGATTCTGTTGTTGTTTGGTAAAATTTCTGCTGAAATTTTGTCTCCATTCAGGATCAACTCATTTGTTGTCCCCAGTCTGGAAGACTATAAGCAGTCTGAGGTCTCAGGGTCATGCAATTGATGAAGAGGGCTGCAGCCTATGAGAGCTAATGCCACAAAATATGAATTCTCACATCACTCACTGTTATTGCTATGTCTATCTAACATGACTTTTCTTCTGAAATATGATGCACTACTGATAACCAAGCCACTGTTTGGGGACCAGTAATTTCAGAATTGCTCTGAGCCCATAGTACATTGTGGTTTTATTTTTATTTATTGAATTTCTATACCACCCTTTAACTGAGGATCCCAGGGTGGTTTATAATATAATTTAATGGAAACACTTAAATAATGCCCTTCAACTCAAAGTTTCCAACGTAATTTACATTTGCAATAGGTCATAAAATGCAGTAAAACAGCTTGCAGCCGTAAAAGACAGCGCTCAAGAATCACAGCAGTCACAATCACAACACTCTTTAAAAAAACAAACCAGAATTTAGAAATGACAGCATGAAAAAATAAATATGTTGTACGGAAACACAAAGCTCAAAGTAATCAACATCCTCCCAATTCCTCTTAATCTTGTCTTCAGTGCAGTCAGTGACTCCATGATGGATGGCTGAAATGATAGCAAATTAGGTTTCTTTTGCTTCCGTTGGGCAGATGTAGGTGCTGCATAGAGGGAAAAAGCAATGTAGGAGACTGGGTGAAAAGGAGGGTACAAGGAGAATAAGCATTAGGACAAGGAATGAATAAAGTGGGGGTGAGGTTTCTTACTCGTTTTATTTTTATACTAGAAGAACTAGTGTGATTAGTTACAGTGTCCAGTTAAGACACGATAGAACATGGTTCAGGTCCTCAATTCAGCCATAGAGTTGTCCTCATTCTAGTCCCCATCCCTTAATCTATAATTTACCTCACAAAACAGCTGTGAAGATAGCAGAGGCAGGGCAGAACCTTGTGTGCTTTAAACTCATTGGAGGAAGGCTGTGTTAAAAATATAAAAATAAACATATAGGTTTCTTAATTGCATCCTGTTGCTTTGTTCCCATTTTTGGTTCCTCTCCTTTTTCGTGTGCCCTTTGATCGGCGGAGCCCTTAACAGTACATAACCTAAAGACAGCACATTATACTGGAAACATGAAAACAGGAAGTGCAAATCACTCACACTTGCTCTGTCACTGCTTTTTTGTAACATCCAAAGCTGTCGTCCCACACCCATGGAACAAAGTCTGCGCTCAAGCATTTTGAAGAACAACTGTGAGAGCTTCTTGTTTAGGCTTGGCTGGGGTCAAGTACATAGCATTTTTCTACTTTAATTTCTGCTCTGTCTATTTTAAAGGTTATTGGCTGGCTGGCAAGGGTATTTGCCTAAATTACTAAGGTCTTGGTGAATGTGGTATGTTTTACCTAAATGTCAGCACTTAAGGGGCCAGTCACATTAATGCAGCACATCTGATCTCTGCATTGCCAACAACGGGCTTCAAGTTCAAACCCACAGTAATGTATTGCTCCTTGACATGGCTGACATTTTCCTAGTGATATGAGGCCACAGCGAAAGAAATGGTCACTGCCATTAGGGATGGAAGAATGTGTCAATTTCCGTTTCTCTTAGAGTCTCATTCTTCCAATCTTACATTCAGTTCTCCAATTTCTGCAGCCATCGGCAGTTTAAAAAAAAAAATTCCAAGGAAGCTTTTTCTTTGTGTTATTTTCACTAAGATGTGTGTGTGTGTGTTTTGTGCAAATTTCACACCAATAAAAGCCTTATCTATGCATATTGTCTAGCTGAAGAACTGTTTTGCAAAATTCAGAAAGGAGTAAATTTCAAAAGATAGTTGTGTTCCACTTTGTGTTCTGGTTCAGAAGTGCAAATTAGGGTGTTTCTCGTTAAAATGCAGACAAAAAGAGATTCATCCTCCATCCCAACCTGCCATTCCTTTGTAAGGATGTTGTGCACCTCTATTGCAGTGTGTCAGAGCAACTAAGCAGAAGCACAGAAAACTGCCAAGCAGACGTTTCTTGTACAATACAAGAATGTATCACATTCTTGTATTATAGCTGTTACCTACCCTGCCTGAACTATATACGGAGGGCGAGCTACCAATGATTGTAAATAAAACAAATTGTTTTCCTGCATTTAAATCCCACCTTTCTTTCATAATGGAACCGAAGGCAGAGTACATCTGGCTCACATGCAATCCAAGCACTGACTTCTCAAACCCAGACATACAGTTTCAGCAGGGTGTTCGTCTTATGTGTCCCAGGACTAACTTTCAAATTCAAGTAGTCCTAATATTACATAAAAGCACGCATTCACTGGTTTAACAGCACGGTTCTAAGCACAATCACTCAGAAGCCTCACTGTTTTCTGTGGGGCCTGCTCCCACGAAAGTATAAGTAGGATTGCAGCAAAAGATGTTATGACAGAATCCAGGGCTGAATAACAATACACCTTAATTTATCACATTGCTA